TCAGGATCAAGAAACACACTCAAACCTGCACAACCATTTGGAAACGGAACAACTTGCTTCTGAGTGTCAACCAGATAAACAATGAAATGAAGGCAGAAATAAAGATGTTCTTCAAAACCAACCAGAACGAAGACACAATTTACCAGAATCTCTGGGACACCTTTAAAACAGTGTCGATAGGGAAATTTATAGCAATAAATGCCCACCAGAGAAGAGAGGAAAGATCTAAGATCGACACCCTATCTTCAAAATTGAAAGAGCTAGAGGAGAAAGATAAAAAAAAAAAAAACTGAAAAGCTAGCAGAAGACAAGAAATAACTAAGATCAGAGCAGAACTGAAAGAGACAGAGACACAAAAAGCCCTTCAAAAAATCAGTAAGTCCAGGAGCTGGTTTTTTGAAAAGATCAATAAAACAGACAGACTGCTAGCCAGATTAATAAAAAAGAAAAGGGAGAAGAATCAAATAGATACAATAAAAAATGATAAAGGGGATATCACCACTGATCCCACAGAAATACAAACTACCATTAGAGATTACTACAAACAGCTCTACTCACATAAACCAGTAAACCAAGAAGAAATGGATAAATTCCTAGACACTTGTACTCTACCAAGACTAAACCAAGAGGAAGTTGAAACCCTGAATAGACCAATAATAAGGGCTGAAGTAGAGGCAGCGATCAATAGCCTACCAACCAAAAAAAGTCCAGATTCAGACGGGTTCACAGACGAATTCTACCAGACATACAAAGAGGAGCTGGTTCCATTCCTTCTGAAACCGTATCAAACAATACAAAAGGACGGAATCCTCCCTAACTCATTTTATGGAACCAACATCATTCTGATACCAAAACCAGGCACAGACTCAACTAAAAAAGAAAACTTCAGGCCACTATCCATGATGAACATCGACGCAAAAATCTTCAATAAAATACTGGCAAACAGATTGCAACAGCACATCAAGAATCTTATCCATCAGGACCAAGTATGCTTCATCCTGGGGATGCAAGGCTGGTTCAACATATGCAAATCCATAAATGTACTCCATCACATAAACGGAACTAAAGACAAAAACCACATGATTATCTCAATAGATGCAGAGAAGGCCTTTGACAAAATTCAACAGCCTTTTATGCTAAAAACTCTCAATAAACTAGGTATTGACAGAATGTATCATAAAATGATAAAAGCTATATATGACAAATCTACAGCCAATATCATACTGAACGGGCAAAAACTGGAAGCATTCCCTTTGGAATCAGGCACTAGACAAGGATGCCCTCTCTCACCACTCTTATTCAACATAGTATTGGAAGTTCTAGCCACAGCAATCAGGCAAGGAAAAGAAATAAAGGTATTCAATTAAGAAAGGAAGAAGTCAAACTGTCTATTTGCAGATGACATGATTGTATATCTAGAAGACCCCATTGTCTCAGCCCAAAATCTTCTCAAATTGATAAGCAACTTCAGCAAAGTCTCAGGATACAAAATCAATGTGCAGAAATCACAAGCATTCCTATATACCAATAACAGACAAACAGAAAACCAAATCAAGAGGGAACTGCCATTCATAATTGCTACAAAGAGAATAAAACACCTAGGAATACAACTAACAAAGGATGTAAAGGACCTTTTCAAGAAGAACTACAAACCACTGCTCAATGAAACAAGAGAGGACACAAACAGATGGAGAAACATTCCATGCTCATGGTTAGGAAGAATCAATATCGTGAAAATGGCCACAGTGCCCAAAGTAATCTATAGATTCAATGCTATCACCATCAAGCTACCAATGACCTTCTTCACAGAACTGGAAGAAACCATTTTAAACTTCATATGGAATCACAAAAGACCCCACATAGCCAAGACAATCCTAAGCAAAAGGAACAAAGCAGGAGGCATCACACTGCCGGAATTCAAAGTATACTGTGAGGCTACAGTAATCAAAACACCATGATACTGGTACCAAAACAGAGACATAGACCAATGGAACAGAACAGAGACCCCAGAAGAAACACCACACATCTACAACCATCTGATCTTTGACAAACCCAGCAAAAACAAGCAATGGGGAAATGACTCCACGTTTAATAAATGGTGTTGGGAAAACTGGCTAGCCATGTGCAGAAAGCAGAAACTGGACACCTGCCTGTCACCTTACACTAAAATTAACTCCAGATGGATCACAGATTTAAACATAAAACCTAACACCATAAAAACACTAGAAGAAAATGTACAGAAAACTATCCAGGACATAGGCATAGGCAAGGACTTCATGACTAAAACACCAAAAGTAATGGCAATAAAAGCCAAGATAGACAAATGGAATCTAATTAAACTCCAGAGCTTCTGTACAGCAAAAGAAACCAGGATTAGACCGAATCGGCAACCAACAGAATGGGAAAAAATTTTTGCAATCTACCCATCAGACAAAGGGCTAATATCCAGAATATACAAAGAACTAAAACAGAACAAGAAAAAACAACCCCATTCAAAAGTAGGCAAAGGATATGAACAGATACTTTTCAAAAGAAGACATATATGAGGCCGACAAACGTGAAAAAATGCTCATCATCACTGGTCATTAGAGAAATGCAAATCAAAACCACACTGAGATATCATCTGATGCCAGTTAGAATGGCAATCATTAAAAAATCTGGAGACAACAGATGCTGGAGAGGATGTGGAGAAATAGGAACACTCTTACACAGTTGTTGGGAGTATAAATTAGTTCAACCAATGTGGAAGACAGTGTGGCGATTTCTCAAGGATCTAGAAATAGAAATTCCATTTGACCCAGCAATCCCATTACTGGGTATATACCCAAAGAACTATAAATCATTCTACTATAAAGACACATGCACATGCATGTTCATTGCAGCCCTGTGTACAATAGCAAAGACCTGGAACCAACCCAAATGCCCATTAACAATAGACTGGACGAAGAAAATGTGGTACATATACATCATGGAATACTACGCAGCCATAAAAAATGATGAGTTCATGTCCTTTGCAGGGACTTGGATGAATCTGGAAGCCATCATTCTCAGTAAACTGACATAAGAACAGAGGACCAAACACCGTATGTTCTCACTCATAGGTGGGTGTTGAACAACAAGAACATATGGACTCAAGGAGAGGTGCATCACATACTGGGGACAGTTGGGGGAGGTAGGGGAGAGTGGGGGTGGGGAGGGAGGGAAGGGTGGGAGGGATAACATGGGGAGAAATGTCAGATACAGTATCCACCTAAAGTAAAAAAAAAAAAAAAAAAAAAAAGCCAGGTGTGGTGGTACGCACCTGTAATCCCAGCTACTTGAGAGGCTGAGGCAGGAGAATCTCGTGAACCCAAGAGGTTGCAGTGAGCCAAGATTGTATCACTGCACTCCAGCCTGGGTGACAGAGCAAGGGTCCAGAAAAAAAAAAAAAAAAAAAAAAAAAGGAGGCGAAGTCTGAACTTCCTTGCCTTGAACCTGGCAGGACCCTTGTAAACCAACAGAATATAGCAGAAGTGAGACACAAAAAGCACTGAGGCTTCTGCCTAGGTCTCTTGGACACTCTTTCTAGAAAGAGCCAGCCGTTATGCATGAAGACACTCAAGCAGCTCTGGAGACCCACTTGGACAAGAACTGAGACCCCCAGCTCCAGCCAGCACCACCTTGTCAGCCATATGAGTGAGTAAGCCAGATTGGAAGTGGATCTTCTAGCCCGGTCCAGACTTCAAATGACAGTAGCCCAGCTGACATAAAACTGCAACTGCCTGAGAGACCTGAAGCAAGGACAGTGCAGCTGACCCTTTCCCAAATTCCTGACCAACAAGTACTAACAGAGACAGGTGATTATTGTGACTTTACACCATACAGTTTTGGGGAGATTTGTTAGATAGCATTAGATAGCTAATACACTTGTAGGGGGCAATTTTTATCAAGGATACAATAACAGGGGAAGTGGCAGGGGCAATGGCTAAGGAGGTGGCTATGCCAATGCAGGATGGCCCAGCCTGTCCTGGCTATAAACTGATCACTGTCTGGCTTCCTCTTTCCAGCTAGGAGGGCCTCCAGAGCTCCCTTCATTTCCATCTGTTCCCCAGCCTAACCTCCCATCAATTTTGTGGGTTCTTCTAACTGTCATTACCCTAATATTCCAATAAACCCTGCTTAATTGATCCAGATTCTACATAAACAATCCAGAGTTGGTATCCATTGCTCACAACCAAGAATCTTAACTGATACAGGGAGTTACCACAGTTCATTACTGGCCAAGGTTGAGGAATGGTGGAAAAAAGGCAAAGCAATGAAGAGGAGATACTAGTATGATAATAGAGTCAAACCAAGTACGTATAGATTAGCAAAAATGGAATATACAGAAATGAAATTCAATACTAACAACATCAAATACAGAACACTTGTTAAGTGCCACACGCTATTTGCAGCACTTCCTAGAATCCTTACAGCAAAACTCTAAGGTAAGCAGTAAATGATCATTCTTTTTTGCAGAGGAGAAAGCAGAAACACAGAGAGTAACTCTGCCAGACCTCAGGCAGACTCCAGGGTACCTGCTCCTTGCCACTACACTCCTGTCTAGAGGTTTCAGGACACTAAGAAAAGGAAGGGCTTCATGGCACTGCCCTGTATGGCTCTTGAAAATAATCAGCAGTTTAATCCAAAGACTTTGGTCTAGAACAGTGTTCAATAAACACTAGCTGATCAAATACCCATTTGTTGAACTGAATGACTTTCTGTTACCTTCCTCTAATGGCAAGGGCATATCATACTGGAAAACTGGGAGTCCACATTTATTGAGAAGACCAAATTCATAGGATTGGGAGTACAGACACGTAACCACGGTGGCCACCCCACAGGATCTTGCTAGGTATGAGGGTCAATTTAGCTGAGCCCAAACTTTCTCCATTCTCAGAAGTCTGGGATCATTTCTCCCCACACTTTTCAGGCTCCCCTCTTCCATTAGTTCCTTACACTAAGGCCTCACCGCTTGTTACCTGTGCCAAGTTTAGCAAAGACCTGCATGGACTCATCAAAACGCTTCTGGCAGAAGAGATTGAAGGCATACAAGTTCTTGATGTGATGAATTTGTTGCTGCTTTTCACTGTCGGAATCATCTTTCATTTCCTATTAACACAGTAGAATAGGTAAGAGGTCCCAAATTCAACAAATATTTGTTCAGTATGTTCTTGATGTTAGAGAAGTAGCTAGGAGCTACAGACACCAAAGTGTACAGGACAGCCACATGGTATCCACCTTGCAGACTGCCTTTACAGTCTACCTGTAAGACTGCTAAGTAACTAAACAATTAAAACACAATAGGGTTTCTACGAGATGCCTAACCGGTTCCCTAAAAATTGTCGTGGTCATTAAAAACAAGAAAAGATAAAATGTCACAGACCAGAGGACACTAAGAACACATGACAACGAAATGCAACCTGATTTCTGGATTTGATTCTGGAACAGAAAAAAGGACAATAATAGAAAAACTGGCCAAATCTAAATAGTCTAGAGTTTAAAAATAAAAAATCATGTGGGAAGGGTCCCCATTCCAGTCTGAGTTGGGGAGTACAGGATGGATTCCAAGAGGGACCCAAACTGAGACATAAAGGATGAGCTGGATCGGGCATGGTGGCTCACGCCTGTAGTCCCAGCACTTTGGAAGACCGATGCGAGTGGATCACATGAGGTCAGGAGATCGAGACCAGCCTGGCCAACATTGTGAAACCCTGTCTCTACTAAAAATACAAAAACTAGCGAGGCATGGTGGCACAAGCCTGTATGTAATCCCAGCTACTTTAGAGGCCAAGGAAGGAGAACTGCTGGAACCTGGGAGGCGGAGGTTGCAGTGAGCCGAGATCACGCCACTCAATTCCAGCATGGGTGATAAAGACCGAAACTCCGTTTCAAAAAAAAAAGATGAGTTGGAGTTAGCTAAGCGCGGCTGGGCAGGTGACAGGGAGGGGAAGAGGAGCATGTAGTCCCCGGCAAGGGAGACAGCACATGTGCAAAGCCCTAAGATGGCAGAGGGAGCACAGTGTACTCAAGGAATGAAAGACATCTGGCATAGCTGGCACAGTTGGGAAAGGTCTATTCTCAGTAAAAGCTAAATAAATGGAGCTGTTATCAGCTTTGTCTCTTCCTCATAACCTATTTTCCCCTTATACCTCTTTACCCAATCTTTACAAAATCTAGATTTTCTTTCAAAATGTCTCTCAATTTCCCTCCTTCTTTTCTTTTCCTATTGCCACCAGCCTAGTCCAAGCCATCAACATGTGGCTGTCCCTGGTCTCAGCTCTCCTGCTTGGTGCTTCAAAGGCTTCCAAAACCTGGTGCCAGCCTCCTCAACTAGCTGAGTCCCAAACACTTAGGCCACACCTTCTCCAATGAGGACAGGCTCCAAATGTGATAGACATCGGCCACATTTTTCGCTTCCTTCACTTCCTCTCCATCTGTAATGCTCCATTTCCTGCTCTTGATCCTAATCTAGCCTATTCTTAAAGGGTCAACTCAAGTGTCCAACCTTAGGCTGCCTTTTGCAGCCCACAGTGAACTGTCCCTCTCTGACACTTGACTCCAGGACTTATTAATGCTAAAGTTTAGTATGTAATTTCCCTCTGAAAGTTCCATGTATGTTTGCTTTTCTATTTAAATAAAAGGTTACGGCCGGGTGTGGTGGTTCACACCTGTAATCCCAGCACTTTGGAAGGCTGAGGCAGGCGGATGACCTGAGGTGAGGAGTTCAAGACCAGCCTGGCCAACATGGTTAACCCCGTCTCTACTAAAAATAAAAAATTAGCTGAGTGTGATGGCATGCACCTGTAGTCCCAGCTACTCAGGAGGCTGAGGCAGGAAGATCACTTGAACCTGGGAGGCGGAGGTTGCAGTGAGCCAAGATCATGCCACTGCACTCCAGCCTGGGTGACAGAGTGAGACTCCGTCGCAAAAAAAAAAAAAAAAAAGAGATAGCTTCCTCCCGGACTAAGATGATGTCAATCAACCTTTCTGGGTCATAAAAACGGCAGAGCACAAAATAAGTATGATCCTAGAAAAGCGAAGAAAAAATGGGAGCCCACTTCCATTTTCTTTACCTGAGATTAAAGCACTAGGAAGATCACTGAAAAGAGAGACCTTCCTGCTAAGAGAAATAGACTAAGGAGTTTCATACCGCATAACCTTTTTATAAAGTTCAAAAACTAAATACATTACTTCTATATATTAAATACATGTAAAAAATTAAACATATATGTTTAATCATTAAATATCTATATTTTTCTTTTTTCCCCTTGATCCTAGGACTTTATTACATATTTCAAATATATATTAAACAATATATATTAAACATATTTATATATTAAATATATATTTTAAATATATATGTAAGAGTAAGGTCATGATAAATACAAAATTTAGGATAATGATTACATCTGGAGGAGAGGCAGAGGGATGGGATTGGAAGGACTATAACAAGGTATAAAAGATACGGCTCTTGGGTAGGATGGTAAGTACATGGGTATTCATTGTATTTTTTTTTTTTTTTTTTTTTTGAGACGGACTTTCGCTCTTGTTACCCAGGCTGGAGTGCAATGGCGCGATCTCGGCTCACCGCAACCTCCGCCTCCTGGGTTCAGGCAATTCTCTTGCCTCAGCCTCCTGAGTAGCTGGGACTACAGGCACGCGCCACCATGCCCAGCTAATTTTTTGTAGTTTTAGTAGAGACGGGGTTTCACCATGTTGACCAGGATGGTCTTGATCTCTTGACCTCATGATCCACCCGCCTCGGCCTCCCAAAGTGCTGGGATTACAGGCTTGAGCCACCGCGCCCGGCCCATTGTATTATTTTTTTAAATGAAAATAAAATAATACAGGACAATGCATGACTACAAAAAAAAAAACAGTAAGATGCTGAAATTCAGTGCTCCAAGAAAGCAATCATCTTTATGAAATATTAACTATGTCTATTAAGATTGGATTTTTAAGTCCAGAACATATATATCCAAAGTAAATGTTCTTCATGAGCAGCCACCATAGGTAACTAGAAGTATCTGCATTCTAAAAAACTGCTTTCCTTTCAGAAATAGTTTACAAGACACTCTAGAAATTCAGTTTCATTACGATTATCTTCATAAAAATCTCTACTTTAAAGTATCACTATCTGAGGCTGGGCATAGTGGCTCCCATCTATAATCCCAGCACTTTGGGAGGCTGAGATGGGAGGATCACTTGAGCTCAGGAGTTCAAGACTGGCTTGGGAAATGACGTGAGACCCAATTTCTACAAAAAATTAAAAAATCAGCTGGGTGTGGTGGTATATGCTTGTGGTCCCAACAACACAGGAGGCTGAGATGCTGATCACTTGAGACCAGGAGGTTGAGGCTGCAGTGAGCAAAGACTGCATCACTGCACTCCAGCCTGGGTGGCAGAGACCCTGTCTCAAAAAAAATACAAAAAAACAAACAAAAAAAAAACTCAAAAAACATAAAAAGACATAAAGTAGCAATATCTGGCTTAACAACTAGGTTAGGCTCAGAATGACTTTTGGTGGTTTCCTAAAAGCAAATCCATCCCCTACAGATGACAATAATCATCACTGAGGATGTTTAAAAGAACAAGACACAGACTCTGACATCAATCTTCAAAATGAGAGCATCTTTGGAACAAGAGGTGGTCACTGTTTTGCTGTGAACAAGATCACTTGCATATATTAGAGTAAGCATCATAAATATAAGACCGCAGCCTGGCTGAATACAATAACTGGAAGTAGTTTCAGAATATCAAAAGAAAGCCTACTTATCCAAACATAGGGGTCTACTGTTGAAAGGAATTTTGAGGGATCCTCTAGTTGTTGCATTCAACTTGACTGTAACAGCACATTTATGATGGTTACTTTACTTTAACGTATGCATTATGTTTAATCTTTCAAGACCATACAATATATATTAAATTATTTTATTCTCCTATTCTTTTTTTTTTTTTTTTGAAATGGAGTCTCACTATGTCACCCAGGCTGGAGTACAGTGGCGTGATCTTGGCTCAAAGCAACCTCCACCTTCCAGGTTCGAGCAATTCTCCTATCTCAGCTTCCCAAGTAGCTGGGATTACAGGTGCCTGCCACTACACCCAGCTAATTTTTGTAGTTTTAGTAGAGACAGTGTTTTGCCATGTTGGCCAAGCTGGTTTTGAACTCCTGACCTCAGGTGATCCGCCTGTGTTGGCCTCTCAAAGTGCTGGGATTACAAGCATAAGCCACCACTCCTGGCCTCTCACATTAATTCTACACAGTACTATTACTATAATTAACATTCATTCTACATTTGACAGATAAAATGAAAAAGTAAAATCACGTAGAGTTACATAGATATTTTATGGTGGGGTCAGACCCAGTATCCAAGGCCCCTGACTTTCAGCTATGTCCTTATTCTACTAATCCAAAATAAATATGAACACTGAAACCCAAATCACCTACTTTCAATAACAATAAGGAAGGCAGACTAGTCAGGAACAAGACTTACTGCGAGCTGCAGAGCCAATTCAAATTGCTTGTCCTGGAGAAGCTGTTGGATTTGGGTTGCCATGGGGACAGGGATGAGTCTCCAAACAAAATGATTGCTGGCCACATAGATAATGTTTGATCTGGAGGTAAGAGTAAAATTATTAGCAAAAGATCATAGGCTTTGTGATGACACAGCTGACTTTACAACTTTGGGAAAATATGCAGCCATGGTAAAGAAAGAAATACCTTACCCTCCTGAGGTAATGAAACGAGGCCTTTGCAATTCAATGCTTTGGACCAGAAGCCTTGGTTCAAATGTTCGGATCTCCACATATCGAGGCAACACTGCGATGATGTAGGGAGGCTGGTGCTCTGTGAAGGAGAACATATAAGGCAGTTGTTCTGGTCTAAGGCTTTGGGTTTATGGAGTGTTTCAGCTGCTTATTCTAAGATGTATTTAAATGGATCAACAAAAAGTCCACTAGTCAAATATCAAGCCGGGATCTTACACATTGATTCAGAAAGGAAAAAAATTGGTCTGTAATCCCAGCAACCTGGGAGGTTGAGGTGGGAAGATTGTGTAAACCTGAAGTTTGAGACCAGCCTAGGCAACTTTGTGAGACATTGCCTCAACAAAAACATTTTTTAAAAAATTAGGTGTGGTGGCACACACCTGTAGTCCCAGCTGCTCAGAGGCTGAGGTGGGAAGATCCTTTGAGCCCAGGAGTTTGAGGCTGCAATGAGCCACAACTGCACCACTGCACTCCAGCATGGGTGAGAGTGAGATCCTGATTCTAAAAAAAGAAAAAAAAATGTTTTGCTCGAGTTACGATAAGAGAATCTCTTGCACAAAAGAGATGCATCAGCTTTGCTGACAGTCGCCTGATCCCACTCCTGCCTTACTGACCAAACAACTGGATAAAAGTTTCACTTGCTCTTTTTTCATCAGTCACAAAGCCACGCCAGAAAATGCCAGTTGCAGCTGCCCCTGTGGTGCATGAGTGGGAGAAACAGGTAACAGAACCTCTTCTTTCATTCTCTTAGAAAGGGCGCGGGGAAAAAGGTAAATTCTACTTTCTCTAAAATTACTCTAAGGGAAGAGTTCCACATTTCGAGCCAATGTTGTTTCTGCTAGAAATTTTCACGGAGAAAAGGTGTGATGCCCTACCTGATGGCTGCTATGGTTTGATCGTTTTTATCCCCTCTCAAACTCATACGTTGGATACTTAATCATCCCCAGTGCAAAAGTGTTGGAAAGTGGGGCCTAATGGGAGGTGTTTAGGTCATGAGGCTCCACCTTCATCTATGGATTAATGTACTATAAAAAGGGCTTATGGGAGTGGGTTCTCTCTCTTCTATCATGTGAGAACAAAGAGCTTATCTTTCTCTTACTCTTCTCCTTCCACCATGTGAAGGAGTATCAAGAAGCCCTTACAAGACACCAGATGCTGGCACCCTGATCTGGGACTCTCAAGCCTCCAAAACTGTGGGGAAACAAATTCTGTTTTTATAAATTACCTAGTCTGTGGTATTCTGTTATAGCTGCACAAATGAACTAAAACAACGGCTTAATGGTAGAAGGTAGATGGATGGACTTCTCAGTGTAGGCGTTTTCTATTTGATACTTGCTGTCAAGTCTTAAAATTGTTTTCCTCTATTACACACATCTAAAAAAAGCCTTTCATTCATCTATCCACGACCCAAAATTTACCCTTGCTGATCCAGTACAAATTATGGGTTATACTCCTTTTCTTCATTCTTTCTCTCTCTTTTGGAAATAACTTTTAATATATCCACTATATTTTTCTGTACTTATTGATGTGACAATCCAAAGCTTAAAATGCTGGATGAAGCAGAACAATTCCACACAGTGCTAAAGAAGTCAGTATGTAAAAAGCAGAGCTGACAAAACCATAAAATCATTGCAAATCAAGTCTTCCGACATTTGAGAAGTTGTATGGTGAAGGAGATTTAACATAAATGGAAGGAATTTAGAAAATAAGCAACATAAAACACATCTTTAAAAACACAAAATCTCAGAACAAGACTGAATAAGGATCTGCCTTACCTTACAATGAGCTGTAAAATAAATTGTTTGTATACTACATTAAACATAATTTCACTAACTCAGAGACAATAGAAATATTTTCTATGACTATATTCCATAGTATATCAAGAATTAGTAAAAAACCACAGTGAGATATCACCTTATACACCTTTAGGATGTCTACTATTTAAAAAAAGAAAGAAAGAAAGAAAAGAACATGTGTTGATGAGAATATGGAAAAATTGGAGCCCATGTGCACTGTTGGTGGGACTATAAAATGGTGCAGCCGCTATGAAACCAGTATGGTGGTTCCCCAGAAAATTAAAAATAGAATCACCACATGGTCCAAGAATCCCATTTCTGGGTATACATTCAAAACAATTGAAAATCAGGACTTCAAGGAGATATTTGCACATGCATGTTCATAAGCAGCATTACACACAGTAGCCAAAAGGTGAAAGCAACCCAAGCACCCACAGACAGATGAATGGATAAACCAAATGTGGTGTATTAATACAGTGGAATATTATTCAGCCTTAAAAAGGAAGGTATGAACCTTGAGGACATTATGCTAAAGTAAATAAGGCAGTCACAGAAAGACAAATACTGTGTGATTCCCCTTATATGAGGTTATCTAGAAGTCAAATTCACAGAAGCAGAAAGTAGAATGGTGGCTTCAGGGGCTGGAGGGAGAACTGAGGAGTTATAAATGGGTATAGAGTTTCCATTTTGCAACATAAAAAGCTTCTGAAGGTCTATTGTACAACAATGTTAACATACTTAATACCACTTTATACTTAAAAATGGTTCAGGTGGTAAATTGTATGTTATGTATTTTTTACTACATTTAAAAATAAAAATGTTTTTAAAAGTAAAAACGCTAGTAAAAAGCAAACCACTAGATGCATAATTACCACACAGAAATTTAACTTCAAAGAACATATTCATAAAAATAATTTACTAATGTGGCTAATCTGCTATGAATTTATATTCCTAATAATCCTTTTTTTTTTTTTTTTTTTTTTGTGAGACAGGGTATCTTTATATAGGCCAGGCTGGAATGCAGTGAGTGGTATGATCACGGCTTACTGCTGCCTCCATCTCTCCCAGACTCAAGTAGTCGTCCCACATCACTCACCCAGGTACTTGGGACTATATGCATGCAACACAATGCCCAGCTAATTTCTTAAATTTATTTTTTGTAGAGATGGGGGTCTCACTATGTTGCCCAGGCTGGTCTCAAACTCCTCAGTTTAAGCAATCCTCCTGCCTCAGCCTCCCAATGTGCTGGGATTACAGGTATGAGCCACTATGCTGGTTTAATTGTCCATTTTCTGATAAAAAGTTTTTCCTATTATAGTTGCAATTTATACTATCAATGAATAGGACGATAAAAATTCAAAGCTAAGAGGGAACTCAGAAGTGAGTAACCTAAGAACTAAATCACATTTATATCATTTTGAATGCTACTGCTATAATGCTGATATTTTTCATCTTAAAAAAAATTAAAAGCATATTGTTTTATATTGAATTTTTTCTTTTCTTTTTATGCTTGCCTCATTTTGAAAAGTTAGTACAATTTTCTTTCATGCAAACTTGTATAAAATATGTAAAATTTCTTTCTCCTTTTAAAATCTGGCCAACTCGAATATGTTCTCATTTAACTAAAAAGGTAATCTATAACAGAAACCCCTTAGGTTGTCATATCTTATGTTGACAATAGAGATGGTCTAGATCTCGTTGTGTCTCTAAAACTGGGAGACTGGTTGGTGTACAGCAGGCATATAAATAATGACTGACAAAGATAATGATGCAATTGTTCTGCAAGCATTTCCTAAGATGCTCTGATGTTTCAGGCACTCTACTATGTAGTAAGGACTCAAAGTGGATCAAGACATGTATCCAGGCCTCACAAAACTCCTACAGGAACAGTGGAGACAGACCAGTCACGTGTGACAAGCTGCCATGACGGAGATGCCTGAAAGGGTTATGGAAGCACCGAGGAGAAGTCATTAATCCTGCCTGGAGGTCAGAGGAGACCTCATAGGGCAAGTGCCTGAAAATGGACTTCAGCAGTAAGGCACAAACATGGTTTTGAAAATCACTGATAAAGGCCCCAGCCACTACCAAAGGTGGGAAAACAGGAACTCTCATATTGGGAAATCAGAAACACACTTGACTATTACATGCCTCTTATATTCATCCACCAAGGTTCCTCTTCTGAAGGGAAAACAAGGTCCCCTAGAATATCAGGAAGCCTCGTGTAAAGCCCTGTAAGTCCCTCAAACTTGTTACTATCCATAATCCTGGGCCTTCTAAAACACTGACCTTTTGATTTCTCTTCCTTCTGGTCTACTCATCTCTAACCACCACCAGAATAATCACCCTAGAATATGATGCTTTTATCAAGACATTCTACCATTTAGGAATCCACTGGCCTCCCAGACCAGAACACGGACATCTAACAAGCAGCCCTATTTCACTGCTCTAATTCAGACCACGTGTGATATGTCAGACTCTGTAACATCCTCTCCCAAATCACCATGTATTTCAATGGACTTCTACTCATTTATCAAACTGCTTTCTGCCTAGACTGAATGGGAATTTTTCTTCAAGCCAGATTCCAAACTCCCTGCCTGACCTAGTTCAATTTTATCTATGTAATGAAACTTCTTCTGATTAATTAAACAACAAACTTCCCTTTCTCTGAACTACTGAATTTTAACTCATCCAATTTCACACCATAAGCAGTGCCTTGTTCTGTCTCTTTATGCAAGACTGTAACCCTTGTCTCCAGAGATAGGGGTCTTTAAAGACAGAAAGCATGTCAGTATGTCCCACTTCACAGCAGCAGCTATTTTAGTAATGCTCACTCTTCTGACCGAAAATAAAATGCTGCAAGGGTGGTTATATTCTTCCAGGCAATTCCACTGTGGAAAGCTGGGAACCTCGGGCAAGCATAGGAACACAAGCACCTAATGTGTAGAATAGAGACTGACACCCAAATGTTGTCTGTGCCTCTAAGCTACAAAAAAATAGCAACAATTAAAAAACCCTTCAACATGGAATTACTACTACATCAAAAGCTCTTCAATATGGAGTCACTCATACTACAGGAATACACAAGGAATCTCCACTAATTTCCAAATGTAATCTATTTGGCAGAGGACACAATTAAAACTCTTAAAAAGGAGGAAGAAAAAAACTAAGAAGTAAAAAATAGCAGGAGATAATCACTTCCTAAAATAAACATTTCTGTTTATATGTTTTCCCCCTCTGAAGTAAAATTCAGCTTCCTGCAATAACTAGACTCTTTTTTCAAGCGATTCTCCTGCCTCAGCCTCCTGAGTAGCTGGAATTACAGGCATGCACCACCATGACTGGCTAATTTTGTATTTTTAGTAGAAACAGAGTTTCTCCATGTTGGTTAGGCTGGTCTCAAACACTCGACCTCAGGTGATCTGCCGACCTCAGCCTCCTAAAGTGCTGGGATTACAGACATGAGCCAAGTGCCCAGCTGACTATCCCATTTTTAATGACCCTAAAATGTCATCTACTAATAAGAAGGGGAACTGAAAGTGAATGGCACAATGTAAACGAGTCTGCTAAAGTTATGAACAGGACTCCGTTCTGCAGGAATGGCACACAACCCCAGCCCAAAGTGGGAAAACAGCTACTGTTGGTCTCACCCATGGCCACTGGTATGTCCGTCCAGTTCAGGGCACATTTCTGTGTGCAGATCCCTTCCTCATTGAGTACCACGGTGAGATCATCTTGGCCCACAGCCACTTTTCCATCAGCCAGAGGTGCAACTAAGGGCTCCAGCTGTTTTCCTGTTGGAAAGAGCTCTTTGATGGACCCCTTTCCATCCACCTATAGGAAGACACAGAGTGAGTCACCTAGCATTTCCCAGCTAGAGGCACAAACACAGGCTGGAAAAATCCAGATAGAACCCAAAACCTAGAGAAGCCAATAATATTCCTTGTTTGACATAAGAAAATGTTACAGAGTTCATTATAATAAGCTTTGTTATTGCAGTGTAAAACCAGTTCACATGTTCTCTAATGCATAGTAAAGCATCTAGCCTGGCAACTGACAATGCCAGGTGCTGGCAAAAATGCAGAGCAACTAGAACTCGCAGTCACTGCTGGTGGGAATGCAAAATGTTGCAGCCATTTTGTTTGTTGGTTTCTTATAAATTTAAAGATACACTTACCATATGCCCCAGCAATCTCATTCCCAAGCATCTGCCTGGGAATGAAAATGTATATTTACACAAACACTTGTATGCAAATGTCTATAGAAGCTTTATTCAAATTTGCTAAAAACTGAAAACAACTTTATCCTTCAACTGATGAATGGATAAACAAACATCCATACCATAGACTACTACTGAGCCACAAAAAAGAATAAACTGTTAACACACACACAATGACATGGATGAATCTCCAATGCATTCTGCTAAGTGAAAGAAGCCAGAATATAAAGTGGCTTGATCTGAAATAAAAAATAAATAAAAAGAAAGTTAAAAAAAAAAAAAAAAAGAAGCCAGACTCAAGAGGCTACATACTGTGTGATTCAATTTACATGACATTCTGGAAGAAGCAAAACTATAGGAGATGAAGAACAGATCAGTGGTTACCAGAGGTCTGAGAACAGGAGAGGCTGACTTCAAAGGGGCAATATGAGGGAATTTTGGGGGATGATGGAAATGTTGTGAATCTTGATTGTGGCATTAGTCACATAAATCTAAGTATGTGTCAAAACACAGAACTGTACACCAAAAAGAATAAATTTTAGTGTATGTAAATAAGTAATTTTTGAAGAGCCTGGTCCTAAAGCAAGACTTCCCACCCTCCAGGTGATGTCCGTATCCAAGGTAGTCAGAGAACTGAGAGTCTTAACTCCAGCTTTTGCTCAGTTCCCTTACTCCTTGCAGAGCTCTGTCACTATCTTTAGGCCTAGTTGCTATTTAGTCAGTTGCACAGCAGTGACTCCTCCAGGAGTCTGCAACTCTGATGCTGATAAAATTAGGATATTCAAATGATAAAAAGATGGAACCAATATATTAATAAGATGATAGTGGGGCTGGGCATGGTGGCTGTAATCCCAGTACTTTGGGAGGCTGAGGCGGGAGGGCTGCTTGAGCCCAGGAGTTCATAACCAGTCTATGCAATATATTGTGAACCAGTCTATGCAATATATTGTGACCCCGTCTCTACAAAATATACAAAATTTAGCTGGGCATGGTAGAAGGCACCTGTGACCCCAGCTACTTGGGAGGCTAAGGTAGAAGGATTGCTTGAGCCCAGGAGGCGGAGGTTGCAGTGAGCCAAGATCCTGCCACTGCACTCCAGCTTTGGTGACAGAGGTAGACCCTGTCTCCAAAAGACAAAACGAAACAAAAAAAGATAACAATAATGAAGAGCTCACCCAGTCGAAGCTACAGAGAAAGACTTCTAGAATTGCCATGTCTAAATTATGAGAGGGGTGTGAAGCTAAGAGATTTAGATTATTTAATGAAATGTAACCATCTTTTCTACATATAGTATGCATATTGGAGAAAAAACAATGTCATGGATATTTACAACTTATGTTAAGAGAAAACACAGGTTATAAAGCAATTTTATAACATTTTATTCTTACAAATAGGATGGAAGCTCATGTACCAAAAAGTTGGTAGTGACTATTTCTGAGTGTGGGGGCTATGGTTGATTTGTACTTCCTTTATCTCATCTATCTATATTTTCTGTAATAAACACATGTGGCTTTTGAAATTTAAAAAAATACTGAAAATCACTTTTAGAACAAATATATGAAAAGATTTGAGGGCAGGGGAGGAAACTCAAAGTCTTAAAAATACTTAAACTTACACTAAAATTATTTTATAATCCCTGAGCACTGAAGCCTTAAAAATAGCAGTCCATGATGATCCATTGGACAGAGGCAAGCAGCCTTCATTTTGCGTCCCAAGAGTTAAATACACACTGTGGATCATCATTACATAGAGAACTTAGTGTTGACTCTTGGACTGACAAGTTACAAAGACATCTTATTTGTGAAAAATTCTGAGCATGGGCAGGGTGCAGTGGCTCACGCCTGTAATCCCAGCACTTTGGGAGCCTGACGTGGTTGGATCACAAGGTTAAGAGATCGAGATCATCCTGGCCAACATAGTGAAATCCGTCTCTACTAAAAATACAAAAATTAGCTGGATGTGATGGCGTGCGCCTGTAGTCCCAGCTACTCGGGAGGCTGAGGCAGGAGAACTGCTTGAAGCCGGGAGGCAGAGGTTGCAGTGAGCTGAGATCGTGCCTGTGTTCCAGCCTGGCGCCTGGTGAAAAAAAAAAATTCTCTCTACAAAAAAAAAAAAAAAAAAAAAAAATGCTGAGCATGAAAGATAACTACACATAAAATAACAAATCCTGTTATGCCAAAAGCTCTACTTAACGTGGCCTCTTGATCTGGAGTTTAGAAGTACAAAATCATCTTCCCCAAGATAAACTAATGATATTTGTAAAATAATAATGTTTTACCCTTATTAGGTAGTAGTCTCTCTTGAAACCCACACAAATAGAATTTTCACACCACGCCATGGACTTGGGCACATCTGGTACACTAAAGTCCCCCTGAAAAAAGACAGAAAGAGTCTGAATGAAATAAATATTTTTTTTTAAATCACGACTTTCCTGTTATTCTGCAACCTCCGTTCTGCAAAACAACCCTCATCTTTATGTGGCACAATTCTCCAGGCACAAGGCTAGGAAAACTACTCTTAATGAAAATACAAGTTCTTGAATTGGACAAGGTACATTTGGAAAAGGTGAAAACTCACTTTGAAATAAACCAATCTATAGAAACACTGTAGAATCACACTACAAGTGGGCATCAATAAGCTCTCATGCACTTCGTACCAGAGTATTCATCTGTTCAAAAATGACAAGACTGGAGCCCGGAACTTCATTAAAACAGAACAAGAAGTCTTCCAAGCTGGCGGCCAACTACTGCAGCAGCTCCTACCCAACCCATGGACCAAGGAACAGTGGACTTACCTGCAATTCATGAAATTCCCTGTCCTTCCAGAAATAGAGCTGCAGCTTCTTTTTCACTGCCACACACATCCGCAACACCTCCTCACCAGTCTCTGTATGCTGGAAGAAGACACGCAGAGCAAATGAAAATACGACGATTCTCCCTAACTGAGTGATAACTAAATTAGAGATTGTCTACCTTGAAATGGCAACTAATCTGAAAATTTCCTGTAACACAGTCATGCTGCCAGGAAAGCTGAGCAGAAGAACACCATTCTAAGTTGCGCTAAGAAACAAGTGACTGAGCAGCACTTCCTTCCCGAGGGCTGCCAGCCAAAGACCACAGCACCAGCAAATCACAAGGACATTCACAATTCAGAGGAGAAAATCCTGGGGCAGTCCTTCCCCTATATAACTCCTCCCTCCTTTTGACCCTTAAATGTTTCTTGCTCATGGCTGTCAACGCGTGCTGGGTCTGGGGTAACCATGTGCCAGTGACATAAACCCCACCTTTAAGCCTTTAAAGAGCAAGGAGAAGAATATTCCTAAGCATAAAATGATGCAGTGTTAATGTAGAACGTAAATACTAAAAGATGATGAGTTGAGTAGGGGGTGAGGCAGATTCTGAAGAACGCAAGAATGATAAATTGACAAAAATAAAGAGAGATGTCTTTTCTGAACAATGAAAAGTCCCTAATGACAAAGACTACAGTGATCTGTTTAGAACAAGAGTCCACTTTATGTCTTATCATTATCTTCATGATACTGTTACAGTCTTGCTTTCCCAATAACAGTTTGTATAGGACAAGTGTTTTTGTCCTTGGTTAGCTGCATCTTGCCAATAGCAGTAGATTCTCACTAACCCACACACAGAGAATGCAAACACTTCAACTTCACGCTATGCACCAACAGAGAAATTTCTCTAATACAATTAAATATCCTCTTTGGGCCAGGCGCAGTGGCTCACACCTGTAATCCTAACAGTATGGGAGGCCAGGCAGGCGGATCATCTGATGTGAGGAGTTTGAGACCAACCTGGCCAACATGGTAAAACCCCGTCTCTAATTTAAAAAATACAAAAAATAGTGGACGTGGTGGTACATGCCTTACGTCCCAGCTACATGAGAGGCTGAGGCAAGAGAATCACTTGAACCCAAGAGGCAGAGATTGCAGTGAGCCGAGATCGTGCCACTATACTCTAGCCTGGGCGACAGAACGAGACTCTATCTCAGAAAAAAAAATTCCCTTTGGAGTCTCTGTTGGGTATGGATCATCAATGTCATTCTTCCCCTCTAATGTAGGGAATGATGTAGGAAAGAGTGTATTGATTAAAGCATAAAGCCAAATTTCACCTTGGGTAAACTTACCTGGAGGTCACATGTAAACAGTGATGCTCCTTTTGCCTTTGAAACCGTAGTGATTTGTTGAAATGTCAATAGGTCATGGACATAAATGTTATTTTCTGTTTGGGAGGACGTAAAACATCACTATCAGTGATCATAATTCTCTAGCATAGCCACTATCGAGGCAAACAAAGTAATTGTGTTAACATCTAGAAAAAGCAAATGGTAGATATTGGTTGAAGATATCCCTTCAGTTGCACTAAGATGATTAATTCTGAGCTATCACCAGTACAAAGCATTTAAGAGTCATTTGATCTTCTAAACTTGGATATTTTCTTCTTTAAAAATTTGAGCATGGCCAGGCATGGTGGCTCACACCTGTCATCCCTGCACTTTGAGAGGCCGAGATGGGCGGATTACTTGAGGTCAGGAGTTTGAGACCAGTCTGGGCAACATGGTGAAACCCAGTCTCTGCTAAAAATACAATAATTAGCTGGGCATGATGGTGGGTGCCTGTAATCCCAGCTACTCAGAAGGCTGAAGCAGGAGAATCCCTTGACCCCAGGGAGCAGAAGTTGCAGTGAGCTATAAGACTGCACTACTGCACTCTAGCCTGGGAGACAGAGCAAGACTCTGTCTCAAAAAAAAAAAAAAAAAAGTAAAGGCAATCTTTCACTTCCAAAGCACTCTTTCTTTTTTGAGGCAGGGTCTCACTCGGTTGCCCAGGCTAGAGTGCATCAACAAAAAGGGCATGATCTCGGCTCACTACAGCCTTGGCCTCCTTGAGGTCCTCCTACTTCAGCCTCCTGAGTAGCTAGGACTACAGGCATGCACCACCACACCAGGCTAATTCTGTTTATTTTTTGTGGAGATGAAGTCTCCCTACGTTGCCCAGGCTAGCCTCAAACTCCTGGACTCAAGCGATCCTCCCACCTCAGCTACCCAAAGTGGTAGGATTACTGGTGTGAGCCACTGCGCCCTGTCCAAGGCACTCTTATACTCTGTCCATCTCGAGTCTGAAATTTTATGATGCAGTATTTGTACAAGAAATGGCTTTCTTTTCTTTTTTTGAGACGGAGTTTCACTCTTGTTACCCAGGCTGGAGTGCAATGGCGCAATCTCGGCTCACCGCAACCTCCGCCTCCTGGGTTCAGGCAATTCTCCTGCCTCAACCTCCTGAGTAGCTGAGATTACAGGCACGCGCCACCATGCCCAGCTAATGTTTTGTATTTTTAGTAGAGACGGGGTTTCACCATGTTGACCAGGATAGTCTCGATCTGTTGACCTCGTGATCCACCCGCCTCGGCCTCCCAAAGTGCTGGGATTACAGGCTTGAGCCACCGCGCCCGGCCCAAGAAATGGCTTTCAAAGCTATTTGCATTAGGAGGCTACGCTTAGAAAAGGGAAATCCCCTGTGGATTTCGTACTAACCCACGGCAAGGATTTCTTTCCTAGCAAAGCAATCAAAATAATCATTTTACCCAGGCTTCATATCTAGTTTATTTAGTCACAAGGATTAGGTTACCTCAGATATTTATCTGTGGTCCTAGGAACGACATTTAAAATGATTTTACTCTTTGGGCCCCAGGCTCAAAAGCACAGAGTGTGAGGTCAGCTTCTAATCCCCTGCCTGTCAAGGAAAGTCCTCACTGGCTGCCTTTCATGAAACCACAGTTTTTCACATAAGGTCCTCAACAGTGTGGACCTGTTCTCTCTTAGCTGATATCCTGCCACTCTCTACCGCATGTCCTTAATGTGGCCACAATAAACTATTTGCCACAAACTGCCACATCTCAGGGCCTTTGTTCTAGTTATTCCCGTGTTTTGTGATATGCTGCTGACCTCTCTTCCTACTGAAATTCTAGTTATCTACTAGACAATATAGGCCTCCCATTACCAAGATTCCACAACGCTTTTTATAAATTTTCACTGCAACTTACCACCTTGTATCCTGAAGACTTTCTGTCATTTAGTCTTCATAACCAGAATGTAAGTCTCAAAGATAGCAACCATGTCTCATTGAATTTGGTATCCCCAATGTCTAGTCCAGGCTTTGCATAGAATAGGCTCAATAAGCATTTGATCAATTAATGAATGAATGAATAAAGTGAGACCCCTTGGAGAGCAGAGTTTGAGTTTATGGGGGATGCTGCTGCCTTTATTATCCATGTACCCTGTTATACCAGGTTTGGAACATGTCAGTTTGTTGTTAAGTAACCACTATCAAATTAACCATGAAAGCGTTAACTAGGTCAGATCTTTTCTTTTTAGATGCATGAATACAAATCCAACTCCTTTTCTTACCTAACAAGCTGACCAGAATCTTAAACTGGGAAACCACATGGATCTGGAAAATATCAAATCATTAGACCCAATTAAACATTTCTGACAAGGTTTAGCAACTGTTCATTCAATAATAGTATTAAAAAGGGACAACAGAGCCTATCCAGTTACGGGGATCTGACTTATTTTTCTGTGCATATAATTTCTGTGACTATAATTTCTTCTTGTGAGAGAGGATCTCAGGAACTTGATACATGGGCAGGTCAAAGAGAAGAAGATTCAAAGAGTTAATAAATGGAAGGTCAAAGAGAAGAGGATTCAAATAGTTAATAAATAACATTACCAAAATTCTGGTTTGACAGGATCTCATATAAGTCAAATATTCTTATAAGGACTGCCATCACTGCTTACCTGCTGAATCTTTTTGGAGAAGTTCTTATTGGATTTCTCTAGTGTCACTTCAAACCTGTTGCAACCTATGGAAAAGAAATAAACACTGGTGGTTCCAAATAGAGGAATACATATAAAAACCACTACTAGAAAAATACTGCTCCATACTGTCTCCTACATAAATCTTTAGAAGTTCCTAAAAGACTAAAAATCAGAGATCTAAATAGCCAGCTGTCTTACAAGCACTGTAAGATGCTTTCAACTCCAATTTTAGAGCAGAGCATTTCATGCATCTTCACTCGGCATCAGCAGAAAGGATCACATAAAGTTTACTGAAGCTGCAAGGTACTTGTGAGTCTGAAGATCTTATCTTGCAAAATCAGTACCTTGGCAAAGTGTTCCACAAGGAAGGGTGTAAGATGTAACAGTCAAATATTAGAGCCCAAGCCATGAAACCCAGCCCAAAGCATCCTTAGGTCTAGACCAACTAATTTCCAGCAACTACCCTAAGTCCTGTATCATGGAGACAGAGCAAACACTCGAACCCATCTCCAGAGCTAAAGCAATTTAATGCATCTACACTTACTGCCACTTTCAGGTGACGCTACATCTGCTGGCACTGTTACAAAAAAAGGGGAAGAAAGTTACATACCATAAAAATACGTGAATTCAGCCTTGCTGGGGATGACAAAATTATTCAGCCTCAAAAGTCACCCAAGAGTCAAAAAGAATAATTCTTATCATCATCAGAGCAGCTATCATTAAGCAATAACTACATGCCGGGTTCTGGGTTTAAAACTTTATATTATTTTTTCTGTAAAGTCATAACTACTCCCAAGAAGTAGGTATTATTATTCCAAGTTCCTATTTGAGGGGCCTCAGAGTTACAGCGGTTAGGTAGCAGCCACTGAGAGAGCCTCCGAGCAAACCCAGGCTGACTCTAAAGCCTGTGCTCTGAGCCTACGCTCTGCTACCTGCCTTCTATTTCATGGAGAGGATGCTCGCACTGCTGACCTGGGTTGCTCCCCACAGCTAGCTCTGCCCTTGCCCTCTGGAAATCAGGGAGACTCTTGGAGGCAGCCATAAGAACTCATGCCACCAAAGCTGCTCTTACTTCTTCCATGTGCCCCTCAAACATTTTTGTCTCAAAATCTTGATAATCTTAAAAATTTCTGAGGACCTCAAAGAACTTTTATGTAGGTTATATACATGAATATTTACATGTTAGAAATTTAAATACATACATATAAAAACATCTATGTATTTAAAAATAACAATAATAACCCCATAAGTAAGATGCCACATCTGCTTCTGCATTGAATCTGTTTTGATAATTTAATTAGTTTTGGCTGAAGTATATGATAAAAAAATCTGTCCTCATATGAATATATAGTTGAAAAGAGAAAAGATTAAATAGATTTTTCAGATAATGTGGATCTTGTTTTTTTTTTTGGAGACGGAGTCTCACTCTGTCACCCAGGCTGGAGTGCAGTGGCTTGATCTTGGCTTACTTCAACCTCTGGAACCAGCCAGTGCTTGCTACAAATCCTTGACTGTAATCTCTTCTCCAGCAAGCTCCTTCAGAGTCTGAAATAGACTTCTCACCTTCATCTGCACAGTAAAGAGACTTACTGGTGTCCGTTTTTTAATTTGATCTTCCATCCAAATATATAGCAATTTCTCCATTTTGTGGATGGGCCTGCTTCGTTGCTTTGTTATAACTGTTGATCGCATGGGTGCAGAACCTTTCACAGCTTCACGAATTCTTTCTTTATCTTTCAAAATCGTCAACACAGTCGAGTGTGATAACTTCCTATCACGTGCGATCACATTCACTTTCTTTCCTCCTTCGTACTGCTTAATTACCTTCATTTTTGTGTCGAGATCGATGGCCTTTCATTCCTTCTTGGCAGGCTGAGGCGTAGACAAAGACAATTTCCTCTTGGTAGACATCTTGGGAGGGGTTTGATGAAAAATATCCAAGACACAAAACACAAATTGCTGTACCGAGTCTGGGATAACAGTTGAAATGGTACACATGGAGATGGTAGTGCTGCTGGAAGCTGGTCCGCACTGTCGTACGCCCAGCTGGGCAACGTTTGCGCTGCCAGACGCGGAGCAGTCGTGGCTAGCGATTGTCGTCGTCAAGTCGAATGGTCGTAAGTTGTATAGGTCGTAAGTCGATCAATACCTGTAATCCCTAGCTCTAATCTTTTCTTGACCCTATTATCCTCTCCCTTTCCTCAGAAAGATAGTCTATGCACAGACCAATTTAGGTTTCAAATATTTCAAATCTAGAAACCAAATTAGCCCTAGAACTGATTCACACAGGTCCAGGTCTATTTCTGGCTACCATCGGGCCAGAGCTGGGCTAGAACTAAACTGTTCACCAAGAGTATAAGGAAAAATGACATTTCTTAATGTGAAGTTTAAATCAGAGTTTGATTTCCTAACTGTCTATATTCAAGCTACCTATGGAGAAGCTGAGGCCCAGGAACATTAACTAATTTGTCAAAGTTGACATGATAAAATGATCACAGGCAAGGAATAGTCGCCACCAGTGTTCCAAGCCAGATGAACACTAATATTACCAGTTTAGGTCTATACTGTGTTCAAAAACTTCCTTTATAAAATCTTGTTGTCTATTTCTGATCACCACTTACATCTGAAACCAAAGTAGTCAAAAACAGCTGTTGAACGCTGAATAAGCATTTTATATTTTAAAATTAAAATGAGCTTAATTTTAAAATTATAAACCAGGCAAATATCGCAGAATGCAAATATTCTGGTTCTGAGAACTGAAAAAAAAATTTTTTTTAGACAAGGTCTGTTGCCAAGACTGGAGTGCAATGGTGTGATGATAGCTCACTGCAGCCTCAACCTCCTGGGCTCAAGCAATCCTCTCGCCTCAGCCTCCAAAGCGGCTGGAAATATAAGCATGTGCCATCACATCCAACTAATTTTTTGAAGAGAGGGTGTTGCTATGTTGCTCAGGCTGGTCTCAAACTCTTGGCCTCAATCATTCCTCCTACCTCAGTCTCCCAAAGTGCTGGGATTATGGAGATGAGCCACTTGGACTGATTGAGAATTAATAATTTAAAACAAAGATCAACAATGTACTACCCAAGGCCAAATTGAGGCCTTTGCATGTTTTTGTAAATAAAGTTTTACTGGAATATAGCCACACCCATTCTCATTACATATTGCCTACAACTGTTTTCATGTTACAATGGCAGAGCTAAGTAATTACACTGCAAAGCCTAAAATATTTATTCTTTGGACCTTTTCAGAACAAGTTTGCTGACCCCTGATTTAGAGGACAGTTAAAACTCAGAAATGAAATAAATTCTCTATTTTGTTCTCTGGTTTCTTTTCTTACCCAGCTGCAGAAACTGACCAGGAAACCTTCCTCTTTCCCGAGTACACTGGTAAAGTACTTTTCCCCTCAATGTTACCCTTGCTCCAGGTTCCAAAAGAGGGCTCTATTTATCTTAAGCAATCTCTTAAGCTATTTACCAGAGAAATATATATAAAAGGGTATGAAGATAACTGCAGATTTCTGTAGAGTGGCTCCAGAGCATAATACCTAAACACATCTATTCTCCATAAAGAGAGCACAGAAACAAAAACAGGGAAGGGCAGTGACGTACCTTTTGCCCCAATAAAAAACACTCTTGGGCCAGGTATGGTGGCTCAAGCCTATAATCCCAGCACTTTGGGAGACTGAGGCAGGTGGATCACAAGGTCAGGAGATCAAGACCATCCTAGCCAACATGGTGAAACCCCGTCTCTCCTAAAAATACAAAAACTAGCTGGGTGTGGTGGTGGGCACCTGTAATCCCAGCTACTGGGGTGGCTGGGGCCAGAGAATCACTTGAACCAGGAAGTCGGAGGTTGCAGTGAGCTGAGATTGTGCCACTGCACTCCAGCCTGGCAACAGAGCGAGACTCTGTCTTGAAAAAAACAAAAACAGAAAACCATTCTTTAACAGAATAAATTTCAAATACTTTCATTATTACCCTACATTACTGATAGTCACATTTGTTTAGAACTTGAGTTTTCACAGTTTCTTCAAGCCTATTAGCCTATTACTGTATTCCCCCCAACAACTTTGTGAGACAGAGTTTATAAAAAAACTGAAGTTGGAAAGAACCTGCTTATAGTCACATAGCCAGGGGAAGTGCACCTGAACGCAAACCCTGGTCCTCTCTTCCTGGTCAACCCCTTATAACCTAACAAGATCTTTTAAATCAATGTTCCCTAATTTTTTTCCTACCACCACACCATATACACAGGAATCTTATTCCTATTAGTAGTATTTCTTATTACTAGTAGTGAATCTCTAAGAAAAGAGGAGGAAAACAACTGCCTCCTCTTTTCTTAGAGACTCACTACCAGTAATAAGTAAACCAGTAATTCAGCTTCACCTCCCAGATGTAGGTAGGGTAATACAGTCTGGAGGGGGAAACCCTATGCATTCTCACGTCTTCTCCCCATTTTCTCATCGTGCTCTTTAACACCTTTGATCTTTCTTTTAATGGTCTAGGAGTCACTGATTTCACAGTGTATGCTAGCTGACTATTAAAACTTATTTTTTGCATAAGCAACATGCACTTACCAACGTCCTTCCGAATCCTATAGAGAAGAAGATGTCCTTGTTTGGTTCCCACAAGAAGCCATTCCTCTGGAAAAGAAAATAGCTTTGAGAAAGGTCAATCAGCTTGAGTACAACACTCTTTTTTTTTTTTTTTTTTTGAGATGTAATTTCACTCTTGCTACCCAGGCTGGAGTGCAATGGCACGATCTCGGCTCACTGCAACCTCTGTCTCCTGGGTTCAGGCAATTCTCCTGCCTCAGCCTCCTGAGTAGCTGGGATTACAGGCACGCGCCACCAAGCCCAGCTAATGTTTTTTGTATTTTTAGTAGAGACAGAGTTTCACCATGTTGACCAGGATGGTCTCGATCTCTTGACCTCGTGATCCACCCGTCTCGGCCTCCCAAAGTGCTGGGATTACAGGCTTGAGCCACCGCGCCCGGCCGACACTTTCTTTAGTTGGGGCTTGTAATCAGAAAACAATGTGTCAAGAAAATGAGTTGCTTTTGATAGTAGGTACTTTGCAAAGCTAAGGAATGTTTTTTTTTTCCTTTTAGAAATGATTTTTTAAAATTATACTTTAAGTTCTAGGGTACATGTGCGGATCGTGTAGAATTGTTACATTAAGTATACACATGACATAGTGGTTTGCTGCATACAGCCCCGTGTCATCTACAATAGGTATTTCTCCTAATGTATCCCTCCCCAATCCTCCCAGCCCCTGCTATCCTTCCACTACCCCCACACATCACCCAACAGGCCCCAGCGTGTGATGCTCCTTCCCTGTGTCCATGTGTTCTCATTGTTCAACACCCACTTATGAGTGAGAACATGCAGTGTTTGGTTTTCTGTTCTTGTGTCACTTTACTGAGAACGATGGTTTCCAGCTTCATCCATGTCCCTGCAAAGAACATAAACTCATCCTTTTTTATGGCTGCATAGTACTTCATGGTATATATGTGCCACATTTTCTTTATCCAGTTTATAATTGATGGGCATTTGGGTTGGTTCCAAGTCTTTGCTATTGTAACAGTGCCGCAGTGAACATACATGTGTATGTGTCTTTACAATAGAACGATTTCTAATCCTTTGGGTATAAACCCAGTAATAGGATTGTTGGGTCACATGGTATTTCTATTTCTAGATCCTTGAGGAATCGCCACACTGTCTTCCACAACGGCTGAAGTAATTTATACTCCCACCAACAGTTTAAAAGTGTTCCTATTTCTCCACATCCTCTCCAGCATCTGTTGTCTCCAGATTTTGTAATGATTGCCACTCTTAACTGGCGTGAGATGTTATCTCAATTGGCTTTGATTTGCATTTCTCTAATGACAGTGATAATGAGCTTTTTTCATATGTTTGTTCGCTGCATAAATGTCTTCTTTTGAAAACTGTCTGTTCATATCCTTCGCCCACTTTTTGATGGGGTTGTTTTTTCCTTGTAAATTTGTTTAAATTCTTTGTAGATTCTGGATATTAGCCCTTTGTCTGATGGGTAGATTACAAAAATTTTTTCCCATTCTGTTGGTTGCTAGTTTACTCTCATGATAGTTTATTTTGCTGTGCAGAAGCTCTTACATTTAATTAGATCCCATTTGTCTATTTTGGTTTTTGTTGTCACTGCTTCTGGTGTTTAGTGATGAAGTCCTTGTCTATGCCTATGTCATGAATGGTGTGGTCTAGGTTTTTTTCTAGGGTTTTTATGGTGTTTGGTCTTATGTTTATATCTTAGTCCATCTGGAGTTAATTTTTGTATAAGGTGTAAGGGGTCTAGTTTCAGCTTTCTGCACATGGCTAGCCGGTTTTCCCAACACCATTTATTAAACAGGGAATCCTTTCCCCATTGTTGGTTTTTGCCCGGTTTGTCAAAGATCAGATGGTTGTAGATGTGTGGTGTTACTTCCGAGGTCTCTGTTCTGTTCCATTGGTCTATATCTCTGTTTTGGTACCAGTACCATGCTGTTTTGATTACTGTAGCCTTGTTTCTTTCTTTCTTTCTTTTTTGTTTTTTTTTAAAGATGGGGTTTTACCATGTTGGTCAGGCTGGTCTTGAACTCCCGACCTCAGGTGATCTGCCCACCTTGGCCTCCAAAGTGCTTGGATTACAGGTGTGAGCCACCAGGCCCAGCCCCTTTTTAAATTTTTTTTATTTTTATTTTTTTTCCTTGTAGCCTTGTAATATAGTTTGAAGTCAGGTAGTGAAATGCCTCCAGCTTTGTTTTTTTTGGTTAGGATTTTCTTCGCTATGCGGGCTCTTTTTTTGGTTCCCTATGAAGTTTAGGGTGGTTTTTTTCCAGTTCTGTGAAGTAGGTCAATGGTAGCTTGATGGGGATAGCACTGAATCTATATATCATTTTGGGCAGTATGGCCATTTTCATGATATTGATTCTAACTAATCATGAGTGTGGAATGTTTTTCCAGCAGGTTGTGTCCTCTCATTTCCTTGAGCAGTGGTTTGTAGTTCTCCTTGAGGAGGTCCTTCACATCCCTTGTTAGTTGTATTCCTAGGTATTTTCTTTGTAGCAATTGTGAATAGGAGTTTGCTCATGATTTGGCTCTCTGTTATTGGTATATAGGAATCCTTGCGATTTTTAATTTTTTTTTTTTTTTTGGGACAGAGTTTCGCTCTCGTTACCCAGGCTGGAGTGCAATGGCGCGATCTCGGCTCACCGCAACCTCCGCCTCCTGGGTTCAGGCAATTCTCCTGCCTCAGCCTCCTGAGTCGCTGGGATTACAGGCACGCGCCACCATGCCCAGCTAATTTTTTGTATTTTTAGTAGAGACGGGGTTTCACTGTGTTGACCAGGAAGGTCTCGATCTCTTGACCTCATGATCCACCCACCTCGGCCTCCCAAAGTGCTGGGATTACAGGCGTGAGCCACCGCGCCCGGCCTATTTTTAATTTTTTTATACCACCTTCTCATCTGTCTGTGAGACTGTGATTTCTGCACATTGATTTTGTATCCTGAGACCTTGTTGACGTTGCTTATCACCTTAAGGAGACTTTGGGCTGAGATGACGGGGTCTTCTAAATATACAATCATGTCCTTTGCAAATAGAGACAATTTGACTTCCTCTTTTCCTAATTGTGGAAGAACTGTTTGAGCCCAGGAGTTCCAGGTTATAGTGAGCCAAGATCTGGCCACTTCCAATGCTATGTTGAATAGGAGTGGTGAGAGAGGGCACCCTTGTCTTGTGCCAGTTTTCAAAGGGAATGCTTCCAGGTTTTGCCCACTCAGTATGATATTGGCTGTGGGTTTATCATAAATAGTTTTTATTAGTTTTTTAGATACGTTCCACCGATACCTAGTTTATTGAGAGTTTTTAGCATAAAGGACTGTTGAATTTTGTCAAAGGCCTTCTCTGCATCTATTGAGATAATCATGTGGTTTTTGTCTTTGGTTCTGTTTATGTGATGGATTATGTTTATAGATTTGCGTATGTTAAACCAGCCTGGCATCCCAGGGATGAAGCTGACTTGTGATGGATAAGCTCTTTGATTTGCTGTTGGATTCGGTTTGCCAGTATTTTGTTGAAGATTTTTGCATCAATGTTCATCATGGATATTGGCCTGAAATTTTCGTTTTTGAGATGGAGTTTTGCTCGTTACCCAGGCTGGAGTGCAATGGTGCGATCTCGGCTCACCGCAACCTCCTCCTCCTGGGTTCAGGCAATTCTCCTGCCTCAGCCTCCTGAGTAGCTGGGATTACAGGCACGCGCCACCATGCCCAGCTAATTTTTTGTATTTTTAGTAGAGACAGGGTTTCACCATGTTGACCAGGATGGTCTCGATCTCTTGACCTCTTGATCCACCCGCCTCGGCCTCCCAAAGTGCTGGGATTACATGAAATTTTCTTTTATAGTTGTGTCTCTGCCAGGTTTTGGTATCAGGATGATGTTGGTCTCATAAAATGAGTTAGGGAGGATTCTATTTGTATTGTTTGGAATAGTTTCAGAAGGAATAGTAACAACTCCTCTTTATACCTCTGGTAGAATTCGGCTGTGAACTCGTAAGCTAAGAAATGTTTATATTCATGTTTGAGAATCAACCGATTAAAAACACATTTATTGAATAATTACTAGGCTAGACACATCAGAGGATACAAATGTCCCTGGCTTGTTTTTTATTTTTATTTTTTTCAGTCTTCTCTAATTTTATTACAGGGCATGTTGGGGACAGGGGAGGGAAGTGGCAAAGGAGTGACAGGAGGGCAGTCTAGGGCCATTCTCACCCTGAGCCTTGAGGCCTGGTGGGGGACAGGAACTGCAGAGGCATCAGATGAGGCCTCGGAAAGCCCAGGCCATCAGCTCCTCTCATGGGACCAGGCATGTGGAGTTGGCTCTCCAGGAATAGCGGGAGAAAGGCTTGCATGAGCTACCCCTGCCATCTACACCTGACAGGACAGGGGAGACAGGGAGAGAGTATCAGGCGCTCTACCTTCCCACTAAGGGGCACAGGTCATGGGAACACTTCCTCCGAGGACACAGAGAGCCTGGCTGAGCTGGCTGGCTCATGCTCCTTCTGGTCTGGGGGTCAGAGGAGAGTGAGATACTCTGGTTTGAAAGGCCTTCCTTTCTACCTCAGGGAAAACAGGTAGGGAGGTGAGGGTGCATTGCCAAAAAACACCCCCAAAACTCCATCTGGCTGAGTGACCCTGGGCAAGTCACTTCACTTCCTGGAGACTCAAGTTTCAAGATGGGAACAATGAGCATCGCCTCACAGGTTTGTCGTGAGGATTAAGCGAGAAAGTGTGTATAATGTTAGTGATGACTGGATGATACAAAATTGAGAACAAGCCTGGGTGCGGTGGCTCACGCCTGTAATGCCAACACTTTGGGAGGCTGAGGTGGGTGGATCATGGGGTCGCGGTCAGGAGTTCGAGATCAGCCTAATAGGGTGAAACCCTGTCTCTACTAAAAATACAAAAATTGGCCAGGCATGATGGCATATGCCTGTAATCCCAGCTACTCAGGAGGCTGAGGCAGGAGAATCGCTTGAACCCAGGAGGCGGAGGTTGCAGTGAGCTGAGATCATGCCATTGCACTCCAGCCTGGGCAACAGAGCAAGACTCCGTCTCAAAACAAAACAAAACAAAATTGAGAAGATGATTGGCTGCGGAAGGCTCAGTGGGAACGCCCAAGGCAAGCGGGGGAAGTCAGTGGACAGAAGGACTGGGAGTGGCTGCAATGTAGCTTCCTTCTTCCTCTGCCAGGTTTAAGAATGAGCCCTAGGTGGGGTGAGGAGGTGGGGAGAAAATTAGGGTCCTGGGAGGGGGCAGCCTGACGTCAAGGCCTGAATGAGAGTGCACAGGCGCCCATGGGCTGCGTGGAGGATGGGAGAGGGCGGGGAGAACAGGAATCCTCTGAGGGCTGTTTTTAAAAAGCTGAAGAGAAGAGACGACTATTTCTTTCCATAGGTGCAGCTGCAGAGACATCAAGCTGGACCCATCGAGGATTTCAGATCCAGCCATCATGGGATGGGGCTGCTGCCGGGGACGCCAGTGCCCCTCCTTTCTCCTCAGCACCGGGGTTATAAAAAAATACCTACAAACCATGAGAAAGTTTGTGTGAAAACACTTTTCTGCATGTATTAAAAAAAGAGACTGGCCGTGGTCAGTGGCTCAGAACGTGGACCAAAGTCCCAAGAGTTGCCAAGGGGAGTCCATGGCACCCCAGTGGTAGAAGAGGTAGCCTGGGGCACCCCTGTGGCCGGGACAGTGCTGGCTCTGGAGAAGGCTGTTCTTTGGCTGGGCTACGCTTCCGTGGATGTGAGGTCTGAGGGGCAGGAGGGATGGCAGGAGTCCTGGCTCCAGCAGTCCCATGGAGACCCTGTGCTGGGGTGGGCAGTGGGGGAGCCTTGGCCCTAAGCCTCAGGAACCCTCTTAGTGAACCCCATTGCTAAAGGCAGAAGCCTCTTCCCAGTAAGCTTCCCCAGACAGGCGGGGGAGCTACAGGGGGTTCAGTCTGGTTTCCACTTCTGATGGAGGGTTCTGCCCAGAGGCTCCAGAAGGCTGTGTTCTGCTGAGGCTGACCCCAGCTGGGGACATCAGGCACAGGAGGGCAGCCCGGGGTTTGGACAGGAACCAAGGCGCTAGAACAGAAGAGCCACCTTTGCAGCCTGGCCCCTCCTGCCTGGGGCTTCTGGATATTTCCTTGGGGAAGGAAGCAAGGAGAGGATGGTGGCCCTGCCCTCCTAGCCTGCTCCTCCCTCCTCTTCTTCACCCCCCAAGGGCCTAGACTGTGTTGCTGGCTGGGAGAGGTCCGAGGCCCCCCAGGCCCTGATCTGGGGGGGCCCAAGCAGCTTCCAGGGCCAAGTGGGTAGGGAGAGGGTGACAGTCAGAGCTAGAGGTTCCTCTGCCCAGTCAGCCCAGGCACCCCTTGTTTACCCACCACCATGGAGCCAAGGCTGTGACGGGCACCCTCAGTGGATATTGTAGCCCCCAAGGCAACCTAGGAATGGGTGGGCGTGGGCGGCATCTGCAGTCAGCAGTGGGCTGAGGACCACTCTGGCTCTGGGGAGTGGGGGCCTGTGCATCAGATCCCATCGGTCCCGCAGGCACTCTAGGGCTGCAGCAGGTGCAGGCCGTGCCAGAGCCCCTCCTTCAGGAACTGCATGTAGGTGGCTGTGAATGGGTCTTCAAAGGTGGGTGAGAAGCTAAAGAGATTGCTCTCGATTTCCTTGGGCTTCATGGAGGTGATGTCCAAGAAGTAGTTGGCATTGATGTGGTGGACCACGGTGCCATTGGGCAGGCAGATCATCATCTCCACGGGAAAGCTGTACTTCTCCAGGTGCAGGCCAGCCAACTTCTGCTGGGCCGTGTTCTCCTGGTTGCTCTGTAGCTCCTCCAGCTCCTTCACCAGGGACCAGATGCTGATGAGACTCTCGTTGAGCAGGGTGAGGATAAGCGAACTTCCCAGGACCATCTCCGGGAGAGTCCACCCCCGAACCTCAGCAGGACTGGTCCTCCAGGGTCCCCCACAGCAGGATCGAGTGCACGAGCTTGTTCTCAGCCTTAGCTTGGTGGAAGGCCTCAGTGAATGGCAAGTAGGAGACCTTCTTGAAGGGGTACATGGCTACCTCCAGGCGCCAGGTGGCCTCCTCCCAGCTCAGCTCCTGCTGCCACTTGATCTCCTCAAATCACAAACTGCAGGGGCTCCCCCGAGGGCAGGTGGCTGTCGATCACGCTGCCATCCTCATCCAGGATCATGGAGGGCACTGAGGGGCCCGTGGCCTCCAGCTCCATCTGGGGTATGCAGCCGATGTCCACGTCCATGTTGCTGCTTTCACTGGCCCCATAAAGCCACTCCATGTCCACATTCACAGACCTGCGGTTGGGCACAAAGAGCCGGAAGTCGCAGACGTGGGTGGCATCTTTGGAGAGAATGACGTGGCCGGTGAACTCAGCAGGGGAGAACCAGAAGGGGAAGTCGGGCTGGAACTCGGCATGGATCCGGAACATCACAGTGTAGTAGAAGTCGCTGACAGCAGTCAGGGTGGCCACGGCCCCCTGAGGGGCAAAGCGGGTCTTCACGAAGGGCCGCGGGTGGAACATGCTCAGGATCCGGGGGATGATGACCCCCTTGCCCTTGGGCGGCGGTGGATAGAAGCGGTTGTTGGACAGGTAGCGGGTGAAGACGCTCAGCTCACTGGGGATGATCCACCAGGGTTTGCCCAGCTCCTGGCCTGGCAGGGGAAGGAAGGGCTGGAAGTGGCGGGCGGCAAACACTGCCCTCGGTGAGGCCGCAGTCATCCAGTTTCGGAGGCCGGACAGGGTGAGGCGCGAGACCTTTAGGAAGCCATCTTTGCTCTTTCTTGGTCATGGTCTCCGGGAAAAGAGGCTGGAATCGGGCTTCTATGGTGAGCCTCTCCTCGCTAGGGTCAAGGGGGCAGCTCCTCCTCCTCGTAGCTGGCCTCAGGAGTTGACCCTGTTAGCTTCTCAGCAATGGGCTGGAACTCCTCGGGGCCGATGTACATGTCCCCGTCAGTGTCCAAGGAGGAAAAGAGAAAAAGGCCATCTGTCCCGAAGGTCTTCAGCATTGATTCCTGCCGCGCGGCCGCCTGGGCCTCGGCGTGGCGGGCGCAGACCCTGACGGCGGCGGCGGTGGCTGCACCCAGCAGGGGTCCGAGCAGCGCCAGGGCGCGGGTGCCACGGCGGGGTGGCGGCTCGGGAGGCGGCACAGTGGGGCTGGGGCCGGGGCCAGGGCCGGGCTGCCCGCGCTGGCCCAGCCGGGCCCGGCTCATGGCTGGCTTAATTGTTTTAACATTAAACTAATAAAAAAGATGGAAGGGCTTTATTTTTAAGGTTAAAAGATTATTTTTGTTTTTATATATATATATATATATATATACACATATATATATATATACACACACACACTTTTATTAAGATATATCTCTTTAGATATATATATATTTTTTAATTCAGCTAAAAAGAATATGATGAAAGTTTATAAAATCACAAAATTGAATGTGAAACCAGGTATCCAACTTCAAAAATAATAGCTAAGAGTCATCGTAAGAGGCATCATTTAAATATTTTTACTTTCAGGAAAATAAATGACATAGCATAAGCTTACAAAATTCATTATTTCAAAAGATAGTCTAGCAGAAAGTATTTAATAACAAGTGTTGATGAGAATATTAGGAAACTGGAGCCCTCCTACACTGCTGGCAGGAATGTTAAATGGGACAGCTGCTTTGGAAAAGTCTGGCAGTTCCTGAAAATGCTAAACATAGCTACCCTGGGACCCAGCAATTCCACTCCTGGGTACACACGCAACAGAAATGAAAACATATTCTACACAGAAACTTGTACACAAATGTTCATAGCAGTGTTATTTGTAATAGCTGAAAGACGGAAACAAACCAAATGTCCACCAACTGATGAATGGATAACAAAACGTGGCATGTCTATATAACGGAATATTAGCTAACAATTGAAAGAAGTATGGGTATATGCTACAACACAGATGAACCTGAAAACATGATGCTAACTAAAGGAAGCCAGATCACAAAAGGCCACATGATTCCATTTATATGAAATGTCCAGAATAGGGAAACCCCCAGAGGCAGAAAGATTAGTGGTTGCCCAGGGCTGGTGGGCTTGGGGGAAAATGTGAAGTAAATACTAATGGGTACTGAGTTTCTTCTGAAAGTGATGAATATGTTCTAAAACTAATTGTGGTGATAGTTGCACAACTCTGTGAATGTACTAAAAACCATTTAATTGTACACTTTTTTTTTTAAACTTTTATTTTTTTAAGACAGGGTCCCACTCTGGCACCCAGACTAGAGAGCAGTGGTGTGATCATGGCTCACTGCAGTCTCTGCCTCCCTGGCTCAAGTGATCTTCCCACCTCAGCCTCCTGAGTATGATCATGGCTCACTGCAGCCTCTGCCTCCTGGGTTCAAGTGATACTCCCACCTCAGCCTCCTGAGTGGTGAGAACTACAGGCATGCACCACTACGCTCAGCAATTTTTTAAAACTTTCTTATAGAGATGAGGGCTCACAATATTGCTCAATCTGGTCTTCAACTCTTGACCTCAAGCAATGCCCCTTCCTTGGCCTCCCAAAGTATTGGGAATAGAGGCATGAACCACTGTGCCCAGCCAAACTGTACATTTTAAAAGATGATCCAGGTCAGTGGTTCTTAAACTTTGGTGTATCAGAATTATTTGAGTGTTTGTTAAAATACAGAATGCTGGGCTCTACCCCGGAACTTCTGATTCAGTGGTCTAAAAGTAGGCCCAGGAATTGTCGTTTCTAGCAACTTTTTGATGTGGTGGTTCAAGGACCACATTTGGGAGGCACTAGTCTAGGTAAAAAGAAAGAGGCACTGAAAAAGTTTAAATTATTATCCTGACAGACCCATATTACATCATTCAGGGAAGGTAAGCATGTACAAATACTTCCTTAGCCTTTTGATAACATAAAGATCACTCATTCTTTTCATAAACTCTCTTGATTCTTGATCCTTGTAAAATAAAATCTTGGATAATAGTACAAATAGGTAAATTTTATTGAACATGTATTGTGTTCCAAGAAATGCTAAGCACATCTGTTATTTCACTAATCCTCACAACTATCCCTTGAAGTAAGTCCTTTTTTCAAATCCCCATTTTATCGTTGAGGAAGTTGAGGCCTACAGGGTATATAACTTTTCCAGAGTCACACATGTGGTAAGTAGCAGAGTTGGGATCCCAACCCCAATTTGTCTGATTCCCAACCACATGCTGTGATGTACTTCCTAAGGCACCCATATCAAAAGAATGGGTGTCAGCCAAAGGTCTGAAAGGTAGTAGTTACATTTATAAAAACAGGTCAGCATCTACATTCCTTATCCAGAGGATCAAGAGTATTTCTCCAGGATGATGATTCCATTTTCTTTGATTTGGGGTCTTAAAGGAAAGGCAGGATGCAAAAAGTAAGACACTGTGTGCTCTTAATAACGTAAGTTGAAATCAAGAAATAACAGCAGCTCTAATGACGATTGGAGATTTATGCTGAGGCAGAATATGAAGAAATAAAATAATTCAGTTTGCAATGTTTGCTTTGTAAAAGACATTATATTTAGAACTTTATTTATAAATATCACAATATCGAGCAATTTGGCAATACTAAAGTTGGTTTTTAGGCCACCCACTGATATTTCAGACCTAAGTAAAATAAGGTGGATTTTTAAAAAATCCACTCATAGCATACATAAAAATCTATAACCAAAAAGGCCAACATAATGTTTACCATCTTCCCCATCCTTCTCTCTCCACTTTATCTCCCAAATCCCCACCAGTTCCCGTTTTTCTTTATCTCTTTTTATAGCCTCAGCTTCCCCTGAGTTGGCCAACGTCTATCAATTTTACCTCTAATGGTACCTCTTGATAGCCTCATCCTGTAGTGTCTCCAGGGACCCCTGTGACAGTTTCAACTGGTCTCATTCACTCTGTGCACTCTCACATTTGCTGTCAGTTAACTTAGAGCAGATCTCTGATGCTGTCACAATGGGGCTTAAAAAATCCTATGAAGCTATGCCATCAAAACAGGAAGGCAAATTCCTAAACATGGCATTCAAGAGTCTATTTTCCATTTTTTATTGAAATGTTTGTCAATAGATATTTAAAAATTTATTTACATTTTTTTTTTCTTGTGAACCCAAACTAAGACACACCAATACATTTTTAAAAATCAAATGTTTAGGAGCCAGGTGCAGTGGCTCATGCCTGTAATCCCAGCACTTTGGGAGGCTGAGGCGGGTGAATCACCAGATGGTCAGGAGTTTGAGACCAGCCTGGCCAACCTCATGAAACCCTGTCTCTACTAAAAAAACACAAGAATTAGGCCAGGCATGGTAGCTCACATCTGTAATCCCAGCACTTTGGCAGGCTGAGGCGGGCAGATCATGAGGTCAGGAGATGGAGACCCTACTGGTTAACACAGTGAAATCCTGTCTCTACTAAAAATACAAAAAGTTAGCTGGGCATGGTAGCACATGCCTGTAATCCCAGCTAATTGGGAGGCCAAGGCAGAGAATCACTTGAACCTGGGAGATGGAGACTGTAATGAGCCAAGATCACACAACTGCACTCCAGCCTGGGTGACAGAGGCGACAGAGCGAGACTCCAACTCCCAAAAAAAAAAAAAAAAAAAAAAATTAGCACCTGTAATCCCAGCTACCCAGGAGGCTAAGGGAGAATTGCTTGAATCTCTGAAGTGGAGGTTGCAGTGAGCAGAGATTGCAACATTTCACTCCAGCCTGGGTGACAAGAGCAAAACTGTCTCACAAAATCAAATGTCTATTCTACTGGTCATCTGATATATTAAATTCACTGAAAACTTTTTTTTTTTTTTTGAGATAGTCTCGCTCTGTCGCCAGGCGCCAGCCTGGAGTGGTGCAGTGGCACGATCTTGGCTCACTGCAACCTCTGCCTCCTGGGTTCATGCAATTCTCCTATCTCAGCCTCCTGAGTAGCTGGAACTACAGGCGCATGCCACCATGCCCAGCTAATTTTTTTTTTTTTTCCAGTAGAGACGGGGTTTCACCATGTTGGCCAGGATGGTCTCGATCTCTTGACCTCGTGATCCGCCCGCCTTGGCTGGGATTACAGGCGTGAGCCATGGCACCTGGCCCACTGAAAACTTTTAAATCAATCTGATTGATTAAATGTGCCATTAGGCAGAGGACCTGTTCCATATTGGGTCCTCCACTCTCTAGGACACATTATTTAACACAGCTGTGCCCACACAACACAGAGAACAAGAAGCCTGCGGGGCAAGCGCAGCATAGGGTGGACAGTCCCTTCTGAGACTCAATACAGTAACACACAACAGAAAGCAGGGACATACTATGCAAACACATAACAGACACATAAGCAAAGCAAGTATCAGCCCTGGAAAACTCCTGATGGCCTACCCGTGAGTCACAAGGTTGGACTTAATTCCTCTTGGGAAGGAGGGTTAGGCCCTATTGCTCATAATTACCCTAATGAAGCTCCTTCCAACAGTGCAATATGGTCCAACTTCATGTAATAAATTCCATTTCTGGCCCAATGCTGACCACTGCAGGGAACACAGAGATGAATAAGATAGTAGTCACTTCCCTTCGTTGCGTAACATGGCAAATAACAGTGCTTCTCATTTGGGCATAAGCCCCCAGTTCGAATCACCTGGACCTATTAAAAATGCACATTCCTGGGCCCTGCACATGGAGATTCAGATTCAATGGCTTTGAGATGGTACCCTGAAATCTACATTTTAAAATTTAATTTTGTTGGCTGGGCATGGTGGATTATGCCTGTAATCCTAACCCTTTGGGAGGCCGAGGTGGACGGATCACTTGAGTTCAGGAGTTCGAGACCAGCCTGGCCAATTTGGTGAAACCCCATCTCTACTACACACGTATGTTCACTGCAGCACTGTAAACAATAGCAAAGACCTGGAATCAACCCATATGCCCATCAATGATAGACTGGACAAAGAAAATGTGGCACATATACACCATGGAATACTATGCAGCCATAAAATACAATGAGTTCATGTCCTTTGTAGGGACATGGATGAATCTGGAAACCATCATTTTCAGCAAACTGACACAAGAACAGAAAATCAAACATCATATGTTCTCACTCATAGGTGGGTGAACAATGAGAACACATGGATACAGGGAGGGGAGCATCACACACTGGGGTCTGTTGCGGGGAATAGGAGAGGGACAGCAGTGGGTAGGGGGGAGTGATAACATGGGGAGAAATGCCAGATATAGGTGATGAAGGGATGTAGGCAGCAAACCACATTGCCATGTATGTACCTATGCAACAATCCTGCATGATCTGCACATGTACCCTAGAACCTAAAGTGCAATAAAATATATATATATATATTAAAAAGAAATACAAAAATTAGCTGGATGTGGTGGCATGCGCCTGTAATCGCAACTACTCAGAAGGCTGAGGCACGAGAATGGCTTGTACCCGGGAGGCGGAGGTTGCAGTGAGTCAAGATTATACCACTGCACTCCAGCCTGGGTGACAGAGCAAGACTCAGTCTCAAAAAATAAAAATAAAAAAATAAAAAATAACATAATAAAATAAAATAAAATTTTGTTATTTGTTTTTATGAAATATTTATGTAGTTCCAAAGCTAAAACAATGAAAAGTCTAGTTTCTATCATCGTCCATTTTATCTTTTCCTCTCCCTTCTGCCATGGGCATCATGTTAGTAATTTTTGATTTATCTTTCCGTTGTTTTTCTGAAAAATATAATTATGCATTATATATACACATACAGATACACATATATACACATGAAGTCTGCATTTCTTACAGGCTTTGAATATACATTCAAGTTTAGGAACCAGGCTCTAGAATCAGACATGAGTTACAGGACATGTGACCTTGGAATAATTTCTTAAATTTTCTAAGCCTCAGATCCTTCTTCCATAAAATGGAGTTTTTATTTTACAAAAGCCTAATACAGATTAGCATTCAACAACTGCAAGCTATTACTATATCAACATTATTCATTAAACACATATTTAATGAATACCCACTGAATCAGGAAACATTTTAGGTACTGCAGATACAGCAATGTAGAAAACAAAGTTCCTGCCCTGAGGGAACTTACATTCTAATGTGGATGACAGAGGCAATAATAATAATACATAAAATAACAGTAGATGGTGATCCACGATTAGAAGATAAGGCTAAGAAAATAGCACATTGGTGGATGTGTCAATCTCTTTTATATAGGATACGTAGGGAAGGTTTTGCTGATTTGGGTGACATTTCAGCAGAGACTTGAGTGAAATGAGGAATGAAACATATATGCTGAGGCAACTAAGTGCCAGGCTGACGAAAGAGCAAGTGCAAAGGCCCTGAGGTGGGTATGTACTTTGTGCATTGATAGAACAAGGAAGGCTGTGTGTGACTGGTGCCAGAAAGGAGTGACAAGTGTACAGGAGACAGGGAAATAACCAGGGCCTGATCATGTCAGATGTTTCCAGACAAGGTAAAGACTGTGGAACTTATTCTAGTTGTGATGTGATACGATGGGAGGGTTGTGAGCAGAGGACGGATGGAATCAGATTTAGGTTTTCAAAGTTTCACTCTAGCTCGTAGATAAAAAACTGAAAATGGCACAAGGGCAAACACAGGGTGATCAATGAGAAGACTACTACAGTAATTCAAGTGACAGATGATGATGCCTTCAAGAGTAGTAACCATCAAGATAGAAATGGCTGGATTTCAGATTTATTCTAGGGATAGAACACAGAAGATTTGCTAATAGATGGGATATAGTGTAAAATAGAATGAGAGAAGTCAAGAATGATTCCAAAGCTTTTGGCCTTAGTCAAAGAGGTAAGTAGAAATGCCACTTGCTGAGAGGTAAGATACAGGAGGACGGTCATGTTTGAGGGGAGAGGAATCAAGAACTGTTTCTGCTATGCTGCTAGACATTCAAATGAAAATGCTGAAAAAGCAGCAGGATTATACAAGTTTGCAGTTTCGAAAGAAATCACCCTCATCATGTTCTCCTGATTTCTATTTCCTAGGAGACAGAGTATATTGTCTCTAAGACATTTACACCTCAAATATTATTTGGCCCTGTGTGACCTGGCTCTGGAGGTTCCTGGATGAACTTTCCATCCAAAGGTAAAAGGGGTAATGACTAGAAAGAGCAATAATTACTGCTGCACAAATCTGGAAATAAAGCACTTTTGAAGCAGGAGGCAGTAAATGGCCTCTCTTAACCCAGTATATACAAAAACACCTTAGGAAGCAAAGAGCATTTCTCCTGCTTGGTGGGTAATCAAAGAAGGCCAAAAGCTACCTATCGTTTCAAAACTGTGTTCCTGAAAAACCACAGGTGCAAGGAATCTGTACTGTGACAGTGGAGTTGATGAAAGTCTAGGAGAACTATGTGCTAATGGTCCAACAGGAGATCAGAGTCAAGGATTCTGATGAGCTAAGTCAAGTGTGGCAACAGCTGCATTAATCCCTTTCAGAAACATATGTCCTTAGCTGAGTTGGGTACCCTCCCACCCATGCTGCAATAATAGGCAACATCTTTCTCTAGGATCATAATCTGTTCACATGTCTTTGTCTCCCAATGTGTATCCTAGGGGCACAGGCATTGTCTCATGTTCATCACTGTATTACTGTCCCTTGCAGAGAGAAAGGCCCATGTAGGCACCTAGTACACATATCTGATGAAGCACTGGGGGAATGAATCCCTTGATGCAGTGTCAGGTCTTTCACTTAAAAAAATGTTCTCCTCCTCTATTTAAATGTTTAATGAGAGCATTTAATGACAGAAATTGGTTTTCTTGAGATGTTTGGAGCAAGTAGGATTCTTCTATTAACCGAAAGGACTAGAACAGCTTACTGTGGAGGTGTGATTTTAATGGCACCCAGAGCTGGTGAAGGAGGAGGGGTGCACATTAACATGAAAATTCATTGTGAAAGAACCCTACTGAAGAAGTCATGAAGAACCCTGCAAGGATGACTGGGTGACACTATGAACTGCTAATGCACCGGATATCAGACACCACCAAGATTCCATGAGGCCCATCATGGGTACCCATGTAGATCAATATAACATCTGAGTAAGAGATGTGAGTCACATTTTTATGGTTCTTGATTTCTAGGACCTAAACATTAAGAGGAAAGTTAGAAATGATTTCCTTGGTCTTTGGGGGCAGTTATCAGATCAGTCACTCATAAGTAAGAGCACAATGTTCATCCTTACCCCCGAAACCTTCATTTATATTTCAGATCACACAAGAGATGTCTGTCCCTACTTTCTGCACTAGTCAATCCCAAAAGGACTATGCAAGTTTTTATGGGTTAGGTTTCATGACAATCTGGAAACTCTTCTATCTACAGAATTAGGTAACTTGGACGCTTTGGATACAAGGTAATCAACCACTTGGGTAGATTCAAAGGTTGGCGTAACTACATGAGCTTCCTACAGTAATGAGAAGTGAACGAGTGATTACTAAGGGGAAAAAAAAGCCATATGGTGTTAACTTGTTCAATGCCCCCCAAACCAGGGTTAACTTTCATCTAGAAAACCCCACAATCATCTGGACAACTTCAAGCCCCTGGCAGGCTAAGAACTTACTGCTTTGGCCCTCTAAAATGAACACTTCTTGGGAATTAAAATGGGCCAAAGCTGAGCACAATTAAAAAGGAAAGCTCGTCCTCCCACTTTGCACAGAGAGCAAGGGCAAATGGAACTCCCCTAAATGACTGGATCACTGGATCACCCAGGCCGCCTCATAGACATCGTTGTCTATAGACGGTGGTCATCTCTCTGCCCTCATCCCAAGCCCCTCTCAGGTAGCATCCAACCGAAGCCCACACAGATGGACGCCTGTCCACTTCCCCGGCCTCACAAAAGATCTGGGCCGCTCCTGTGCTGACCCTGCGCGGCCCCTCGGCTTACCCCAAGCAGCCAGACAGTCGATTTGCAGAGGCAGCTTTTCTAGGATCGGCACTGGCTCGAAAGCGTCGTGCATGGCGGCAAGGGGAGAGTCGCCGCCGCCGTCTCTCCCAGAGTGTGCCGGTCCGGTCTGGGGTCCGGAACGAGGCTGGGCAAAGGGTAAATGGGGATCCGGCCAGGACTCGCCGCTACAGGCCGGTCAACAACACAGCCATCAACCCCGGACTTCCTGCCGGTTAGGCCCGCCCCTTCCGCAGCCAAAGTCCCGCCTCTTCCTCCCGATGCACTCCAGGAATTCACTGGTTTCTGAGTCGCCGTCGTCACTCTGGATCGAGAACTACTTAATCCCGAGTAGCCGTGGGTTTACCATAGAAGGAACAACTTCTTAATCTTAGAACTGTTTTAGGCAGTGGGCATGATGGTTAAAAATTCGGGCTTTGGCGTCAGACATCAGACGGAGATGTACCAGTTAGCAAATTAGCTGTGATTTAGAAAATTTAGTACTTTCATGCCTTACTTTCCTAATCTACAAAATGGTTTGTATTAAGTACCTGTGACCTAGTGTCATGAGCGCTTAGCAACACCTGACACAATCTCAGCTCTCAATAAATGGCAGCTTTAGTATTACCATTCTATCCCAATTAGTACAAGCACCTTACCTTTATACCTTCAAGGTTGTTCTAGGCCAGTGCTCTGAAAGTGGTTCTAGAGGAGCCCCAATAGCAGCATCAGCACCACCCGTGGACTTGTTAGAAATGCCAAGTTTCAGGCCCATTCCTGTTCTACTGAATCTGAAACTCTGGAGGGTAACATCAATCTATTTTAATAAACCCATGCACTTACAAGCTTGAGAACCACCAAGAGTCCGTGCACTTACAAGCTTGAAAACCACAGTTTTAGGCTAGGGTTTCTCAGCGGTAGCACTACCCACAATTAGGGCAGGATAATTTCTTGTTGGGGGAGGGGATGTGCTCTGTACAAAGTACGATGTTTAACAGCATCCTTAACCTCCACACACCAGATGCGAGAAGTAACTTCCCCACAGAGGTATAACCAAAAATATCCCTTGGCCATGTGTCCTCTGGGAGGCAAAATCACCGATTGAGAACCACCATTTTAGGCCAATGCTTTTCATATTTAATGTGCATACAAATCACCTAGAGACGTTGTTGAAATGCATCTTTTGATTCAGTAGAACCAGAGTAAGACCCTCAATTGAGCACCAAAACTCTCCCAGATGTTGCTGGTTCCTGGACCACATTTTGAGTAGCAAGAGTTTAGGCAGCAAGAGATGATTCACTAACTCTTCGAAGTCAGTGAAATAAGCCTCCTTTTAATTTGATGATCACATTCCTACCAATTCAACTTTCCCAAGCTCTGTCTTACATACTAATACTCATTTTAGGAAGGTGTTATGGCTCTTCCTCCTATAGGACCTGGGACCTGTACTGTCTGAGATTACCCTAGTAGTCCCCTTGAAGACTTAAAAATCAAAATTTAGCTTGGGCTCCAAGAATGATCTATATCTGGTAATTTCCTCCTAGGAAAACATCAGATAGGTCAAAAAATTAAGCATTTGGGTTTAAAGCAAAAATGTAAAGAAAAAGGGTAAGTCTATGATATTAAGTCAAAAAAACTGGTCCTGGTCATTTTATTTTTACACAATGTCAGTTTCTTCATGTGTAAACTAGGAATACTTGTCCATCTTTACCAAATGCTGTTCTGATAAACAAGTGGAAGTACACTTTCAAGTAATCAGAAACACAAAAATTGCTAAACAAATCCTGTTATAGCTGATTTTCACCACAGAAGCTGATTACCTTCTTGAAAATTAAAAATTACCAGCTGTTGTGCTGGGAGAAGGTCTAGTACTTTTAGTTCAGGCCCAAAACCAAAATAAACAATATAAACCCTAATTTAACAGATCAATGTAAAACTATAAATTCCTTCTGAACCTGTCCTAAGAAATGACACACTATATCCATTCCCAGTAATACAGAAGGTGGTAAGTAGAATTAACAGGGCCCAGGCTATAGAATTTTTACTATACACTCCTGCTTAACACAATGGGTTTTTTTTTCCTATTCTCAAGTCAGTATCAAACCAACCTCAAAAAATATTTGACCATCTATCCTGCTTCATTATAATTATTACTCATCTGCTAAGTTTTAATATGCAATAGCAGCATACAACAATACCACCAACCTTTGCCTAATGAGTTAGCATGAGAATCTAGTCAGTTGTTAGACTGCTGTTCCTCAGAGATACTTCCTAGGAAATTTTTAAATTACCATAGCAAAGAGCTGTAGAGAAACTATTTAAGGGTTAACACTTTCACTGCAGTATAAGTTGGTGAAGATTGTGGTCATGTGGTCATTGGTTTTAACAGAAAGTAAGACAATCTAGAATAAAAGCCATGGAAAAAAATTTTTCATGAGTTTGAGAAGAACAAAAAGTTTGAAAAAAATAAGAAACATATTAATTTTTGTTAAAATTTTTTATATTAAAAAGTGGCATGAACTTTTTATGTAGAACAAAAATCTTGGGAAGGCAAAATTGGATAAAACCATTAAAACAGAAATAGAGTGCTTCAAATGAATCCCATCACCTCGTGATGTCCCTTATAAACAGTCTCTAAACCAATACTGGCTACCAGAACAGTCCATCCTAAAGAAAAAGCAGCAGTCCAGGGCCTCCAAGCTACTTCATGCAATAACTGTTTAAATTAAGCCAGCAGGACCTGTTTCCTTTGTATAAACACCCACTTCTGAAGCATTACAGTTCCTCTAGCACGGTTCTCAATCACAGCACTTGGAGCACCTCTCTGCATAAAGGCAAACAAAACAATGCCTAGGACCCTGCAATGCCACCCTTGGAGGCTTACAAAACAGTAGTTAAAAGTTTCGGTCAGAGTGTGCACCACATTGCCAGCAATGGGATGTGTCACAATAGCAGATGTCAAAAGAGTTAAGCTAATATTTCTCTTTAAAGTACATCTGAAATAGAAAAATCTTTAATATACACCATTTGTAAACAAAATTGCACTTGATTTTGCTTTGTTAAATGATCTAAATCATACTGTAACAGGTTTTTTTCCCCTCTCTTTTGATCATTGATAGAACTATGGCTCCTTAACTCAGAAGGGCCCTTTTTTCTCAACAACCTCTACAAGATGTAGCTTTGACTTCTCAGGAAAATAAAAGGTAGTTAACAATTTCCCCCATCACCTATGTAACTCCCTAAATAAATAAAAATTACAGGCAGTTGCTCCTGGAGATTACATATTATGGTCTTGATGACAGTCCTTTAGAAGACGTTAAACTTTTTAGTTTGAAAGATTAAAAAAATGAAACGTTACAGAAAGTTCAGGAACAACACACTTAAGTTGCATGAACATCCATGTCAGAGTCTGCGAGGAAAGGGGGCATCAGTGTTGTAAATAAGAAGCTTGTAGATTTTTCTCATCCTATGAACTTTTCAGTAAGATGTTCTCTTTGTTCTGACACCTCTTGCCAATTCCAATGCCCAAAGATCAAGGAACAGATCAGGATGTCATTGCCTCCTTTAATCCCATGGAGCAGTACACAAGACTGACACAGATGCTGATCTCTTCCCTGATAGTAGCCATCTTCAACTGCAAATCTTCCCATTCCTTACTCCATTTTGGACCTTTCAAAGTGTGTGATCATTCGTTCCTGTGGAAAAAAATGTTTATTAGGTTAAAATGGTCTACAGTCCAAATATCTTCTACACAGACTATCCAAGCAAACATTTTCCACGAGTATTTGCTTATGTTAAATGTTTAGAGAAATAATTCCTAAACATTTATGAAGACTCTGAACATACAAATGTCCAGACCTTACCCAAGAACAACTAAATCAAAAGCTCTAGGCTTCTGGACAGCAAATCAACACTCAGAAGGAAATGTATAGAGTCAGTTAAGATGACTAAACAAATATTTACATAAGATTAGGCTTTAATAAAAATGTATACCTCCTTTAATTCAGGTATTTAACTTGAAGAACCAGCGAAGGGCAAAGATCTAGTTATAACATTTAGCCTTGTAACAAATATTAGAAAGAATCCAGTGTCCAAAATATAAGGCTGTATAAACAAAGTATGATATATCCTTACAATTAAATATTATATACTCATTAAAATTATATTAGATTTAAAAGTTCTAGAGACCTGTTCTACTACATGTGGCCATAGTTAACATTTTGCACTTTAGAATGGTTGGGAAGGTAGATTTGTTATGTGTTTTTTACTACAATGTTTTAAAATAATGTAAAAAATAAAATTACATTTAATAAAGTATTTACAGTATTCCATTTAAATTAAAATAATTAATGTACTACTCTAAAATTTCCCTTCTTCGGCAATTTTCTACCTTAATTTTCTGTCGTTTTTCTTTTGCTTCATTTGCTAAGTACCTCTCACTATTGTATCACAAACTGATAGAACTATAAATCATTTTTTAATATAATCAATCACATCAGAAAATCTACAGATGTTTCCCTTTTTCTTAGAAATATACTTTCTGATGCTCTCTATTCTCCTACTCCATCCAAGCCTGTTGCCCAGCTACCAACCTGAGAATCTATTATATCATAATGGGAATTTTTCTTGACTCTGTGGGTTGGACCCTTTATTTCCTACATCGCAAGTCTTTTTCTTAGTTTCCTCATTTTTGTGGAGAACATTTTCCACTACTTTCCTCAGAAAGTGCATACAGGACATCGATTACGTTACTTCTTGTATGACTGAAAACATCTTTATTTTACCCTTATAACGATAGTTGAGTACAGAATTCTAGGCTGAAAATAACTTTCCTCAGAATTCAGTGGCATTGTTCTGGCTTCCAAAGATGCTGCTGAAGAGCCTTATGCCATTTTGATTCCTGGTCCATCATGTAAATTGTTTCTCCTATCATTCATTTAAGTTCTTTTTCAGTTTTAAGTGAAAAAAAAGTCTTGGAGAAAATGATGTCAGCAAGATGACAGAATAGGAAGCTCTGGGCCCTCCTTCCCACTATAGACACGTTGATTCAATAATACATGGAATAATTCCCTTTGTGAGAAATCCAGGAACCAGCTGAGGGTCTCCTGCACTATAGGAAAGCATGAAACCAGCTGTATCAAAGTCAGCAGAAAAATCTGAGGTATCCTCTTGCCATAAGTCTTCCCCTCCCATGGACCCAGTACAGCACCACATGATAGGAAACTCTCAGCTCCCAGCTTCTTTTTGGAGAGGGACAGAAATGACTGGAATGTCCATCTAACATTCTAACTTTTCTGGAACCTGCACAAGAGACTGTTTTCTGTCTTACCTGAGTTTGAGATCTAACAACAAAGGGCCCAGGTTGGAAGTTGCCGAAATCAAAAGTGGAAGTTTGGACTAGCAAGCATGAGCTCACAACAGCCCCTCCCCCAGCACAGTACAGAGTAAGCAGGTGGAATCCCCAACATCCCCAAATCCCAGCTTTTCCCTAGGGAGGGCAGTTGGACTGTGAAAATGTTCCAACTTTGCAAGAGGTTACCTGACAGAATGGTTTCTGTAGGAAATGGTTTGAAGCACAGATGGGACTAGCATACTTTAGGTGCCTGGGGGCCAGTGTGAACAAAAAAAAGAGCTGGGCTATGCCACGGGCTCCAGAAGACTCATGACACAGCACATAAACATAAAAGGGAGAAAGAGATTATAAATTCCTGGGGGGGAGAAGGAACCCAGCAAATCCCTCTGATTGGCAATATATATGCAGAAGTTCAGAAAAGACACATACGGAGTGGGTTAGGGAGGCCCTCGGAATCTCCAAGCAGGATGATTGGTGAGGGTGTTCTCCTGTACAATCCCAGTCCATGAACACTGGAAAAGGTAGCTGTCTTTTCTAATGCACTGAAACCAACACAAAGAATTAAGGAAAATAGAGAATCAGACAAACATGGGCCAAACAAAGGAGTAAGATAAATCTCTGGAAACCAACCCCAATAAAACAGAGGTATAGGAAATATTTGAAAGAGAATGCTAAATAACTATCATGAAGATGTTCAACAAACTCAGGAAAACAATACATGAACAAAGTGAGAATTTCGACAAAAATATAAAAAATCTTTCTAAAAATATTCCAACAAATTGGAAAACCTAGAAAAAATACATAATTCCTAGAAGCGTACAACCTACCAAGACTGAATCATCAAAGAATAGAAAATCTGGGAAAAAAAAAAACAAAAAAAAAAACCACAACCTGATAAGACCCACAACAAGAAAGAAAATTCCATCAGTAATCAAAAACATCCCAACAAAAAAGCAGCTGAGGACCAGAAGGCTTCTTTGATTGAGGCCTACCAAATTTTTAAAGACAAAGTAACATGAATCCTTCTTAAACTTTTCCAAAATAATTGAAGCGGAAAAATTTATTTGGAAGGAACTTACAAACTTATTCTATGAGTCCAGTATTACCCTAATGCCAAAGCCAAACAAAGACATGACAAGAAGAGAAAATAACAGGCCAATATCTTTGATGAGCACAGATGCAAAAATCTTCAATGAAATACCAGAAAACAGAATTCAATGACATATTAAAAGAATCATACACTATGACCAAGTGGAACCAAATAGGAAGCCCAGAAATAAAACTACACATATATGGTCAACTGGTCTTCGAAAAGATAGACAACACTACACAGTGGGGAAACTGATAGTTTCCTCAACAAATGGTGCTAAAAAAAACTAAATATTCGCATGAGAAAGAATGAAAGTAACTCATCTTCACTATATACAAAAATCAATTCAAAATAGATCAAAGACTTAGACAACTCAAACAAATTAAAGAATTAGACATAAGATCTGAAACCACAAGAAATCATTGCCAAGGCCAATTTCAAGCTTACCTGAAACTTCCTAGAAGACAACATAAGCTTCTTGAAATTGGCCTTGGCAATGACTTCTTAGCTATGACACCAAAAGCACAAAGCAACAAGAGCAAAACAGACCAATGGGACTACATCAAACTAAAAAGCTTCTGCAGAGCAAGGGAAGCACGCAACAGACTGAAAGGCAACCTATAGAAGTGGAGAAAATATTTGCATACCACATACAGTCATGGATCACTTAATGACAGGGATACATTCTGAGAAAGGTATCATTAGGCAATTTCATAGTTGTGTAAACTTCACAGAGTATACTTACACAAATTTAGATGTTATACACCTTACTATGTATGTACCTTGGCCATATGGTATAAGCCTATTGCTCTAGG